TTCCCTTCACCCACGGGGGCTCATCACCCAAGGTCTGGACCCTCCCCAGGAAAGCGGGACACATGCAACTTGGGGCAGAGCTGGAGGAGCCCAGCGTGTGGATTTGCCTGCATGACCACCCCATCCAGTGGGTGTGGGGGGCTTCTGCAGAGCAGCTCCCACCAGCCAGGACTCCAGGGGGAGCTCACAGGACACTGCTTTCCACGTGGCTTCCTCCATGGGCGTGAGCTCTGAGATCAATGCCAGTCACACACACGGCGGCCTGGCCGTGGTCGCCCCATGGATGCCCCTCCTTGCCCATGCCCCTGCTGGTGCCCGAGGGGAGGTCTGTGCAGACAGAGCTGTCCCTAAGGTCCAAGCAGGGGACTGTGCCTTTGTGCAGTGAATCTGGGTTTTCCTTTAAGTAACAGTCACGCTTTCCCAAACTGCAGTGTGCACAGTCCATGTCCCCCCAAGTTGATCACCCGCTGTAGCCTCTTGGTCCTGACTGAGTCCTGAGTAGGTGTGACAAGCTGCCAGCTGGCCAGTGATGCTGGCTACCTGCTCTGAGGACGGCGATGGCTTTCACAGGGGGTGCAACCCAGGCACCCTTCTTAGGTCTCCAGTGTGGCCCATGCACCCCTGGCTGTGCTCACTGGAGGAAGTGCAGGGCCCCAGGTCCCGGGGTGTTAATGAGCACAGGTCCCGAGCCACTGTGTCTGCAGCCAGCTCCTGCCAAGGACCCAGAGGCTGGCACAGTCTGCTGAGGACCTCTCGATGGTGGGTGTCCCAGGCACAGCTCACAAATGCCTCCTGGGCTTGAGTGGGCTTGGCTGGCATGTCCCTCTCCTGCAGCTGGGACTCTTCCTGGTCCTCTCCCCACCTCCCTCTGCAACTTCAGCAGAACCTGGACACTGCCTGTGACTTCTGGGTGGGTGGGATGAGCTGGTCCTGTGGGGCACACTGACCCCGCAGAATTCAGGGGCAGCACTTGGATCTGGGTGAGAGAAGAGGGGCAGAACAAGAGGCCCCAGGAGTGGCTGGGGCTGAGGTCCATCCCATCCTCAGGGAAGTGGGGGTCAGCGAGGTCCCTGCCTGCACCCTGCCCCTTCCACGGCTCCAGGAACCCTCGGCCTCAGCCCACCCTCTTCCCAGCACCGGGGGCTTTTCCAGTCCCAAGGTCCTTCAGGTCTCAGCCCTTCACTCCAGGCCCATGGTGGTACTGCCCAGGGGTTCCTGTCCCCAGTGCCCACCTCCAGGAGGGCACCTGGGCTCTGTGGGGCCTCCCGAGCCTGCGGGTCCTAAGCTGGCATGAAGAACACCCTGAGCTGAGCACCAAGAAGAGCAGCCATCCGTCCATCAGCTACTGACTGAGTCAGGCCCTCAGCATGGGCTGTGGTGCGCAGCTGCGGTGGCCACCACACCACAATGGGCTAAGGGGATGGAGCAGCTCCAGGCCAAGGCTCCCTGTGGGGACCAACGCCCCTCCCACTCCTGCTGTCACCAAGGGGAGTCCTGGGCCCTGCAGTCCAGGAGGATGACCAGGCTCCACTATGCACCCTGGTGGCCACCCTTCTCCACCAGCTGCCAGACCACAGGCTGCCTGCTCAGGTTCCCCAGAGAGCACTGCTGCCAACAGGCCCCAGGGACAGGTGGGGCCCTGGCACTGCAGGGACCTGAGGCCCCAAACCCTCCCAGACATGTCCCTCGGCCCACTCCCCACGTGAACGGGCCCCAGGAGGAGCAGGCTCTGGTCAGTGTCTGGCTTTCCCCGGGTATCTCGTTGGCTTGGTCTCACTGGCTCTGTGATGTTTTTGCAGAGGCTGCACAGGGACACTGTGAGCTTGCAGCACTGACTTGGCTTCAGGGCTGGGACAGCACCAGGGCAGGCCCAGGGTGGGCCCACTGCATGGGGCCAAACATGAGGTGACCCTGGGGCCCCAGACACAGCTGCCTACAGACCCTCCGTGAGCAGCAAGCCCTGTAATGACAGGCATGGCCCACAAGGGACAAGGTCCCCAGAGCCACCCACTCACAAGTGACACAGCAGCCCAAGCAACTGGACCTTGCCTTCCTTGAGGACAGAAGCCAGGCCCCACCTAGCCCACCAGCAGGCTGAGACTCCGCCCTGTAGGCAGAGGGCTGCCCTGAGCCACAAGCAGTGACTGTCCGAGCGACCTGGCTGGCTTTCCCTGCAGTTTCTCAGCAAACTGCAAACAGACCAAACCACCGGAGCACTGTGGGAGCTCCACCAGGCTCTGCTACCTCCTCCTGCTGACCACACCTGGGGACCGCTGGTCTTGCTACCAGCCAGGGCCTCGCCTGAGTGTGGTCTCATGGCACTTTGCGGCCACTTCCGACGGGGCCTGGTTGTCCTGGGATAGCACTCACAGCTCTCTATGACCTGGGACACCCAGCCCCAGAAGCTACAGCCTGCAGCTGCTCCATGGCTTTGTCATGGCCCCACAGTGAGTGGGGGGCCTGGAGTTCAGCCCCTGAGCCCCTGCTGCAGGTGGCAGCCAGGCCCAGGCAGTTGGAGGCTATCCTGGAGGCCCACAGAGGGCTCAGACCTGCCAGCAAGTGTCCCGGCAGTGGCCTGAGCCCACCTGCAGCCCACTGTGGGTGGGAAGGGTCCTGACATCCTCAGAGAAGCTCTGACCATGAGCCAGCGTGCAGACCTTGAGTTCTCAGGGAGCAGGGCGAGCCTGGGCAGGAGACAACGCCCCAGTCAGCCTCCCTCCCTCTCCTCCATCACAGTGTCCCTTGCCGGCCATGTTGGCCTGTGCCCCTGACTCCAGGTCAGAAACAGGATCCAATAATCCAATGACACTGGAGATTGTGACAGTCATCAGAAAATAAGTTTAATATGTACAGATGATCATCAGACAGGTTACAAAGAGGGGCGCGCACTGCAGACCCGGGCAGCAGAGCAGCACCCATGCCGTCGCTCAGGCAACGGGCAGACACCAAATAAACCACAAACCGCGACACGTGGGAGGGCACAGGCAACACTGTTCCTCTGGGACAGAAAAGGAGAACAGAACACAGAACGGCTTTGGAATGCTTCTCTCCTGTGCCAGGAGCAGCCTCTGCTGGGGCTGGGGAGGCGCACAGTGGGACAACCGCCTGGGCCGCTTCGCGCCTCCTGGTCAGGCCCATGCCCTGGGACTCCTTGGCGCTCCTGCAGCTGCCCCATGGGGGCCTCAGAAGAGGGGCCGGGAGCCCTGGTTCTCAAACTCGGACCAGGCGTCATTGAGCTCCATGAAGATCATCTTAGCATGCTGCTCATACGGCTGCCCTGTGGCCTGTGGGGGTGCAGGTGAAAGCCACTGCCCACTGCCTGCTGCCCGCCAGCACTCCCCATAGGATGCACTCCTCACACTCACCTTGTCGGGGTGCACAACCAGCACTGCACGGCGGTACTGCTTCTTCACCTGCGCTGGGGTCACCAGGTCGGCCATGCTCACAGGGGTCCAGCGGCTCTCCCCGTCCCACAGCACTGTGTGCAGCGTGGATAGCAGCGCACGGATGTTCCTCTCTTTGCCTTCAATCCAGTCCAGGAGCTGCAGAAGAGAGCAGCTTCAGCCTCTGGAGGCCTGCTGTGCTGGGGACAGGCTGGGGGGCTGCCTACGAGGCGGGCAGCTCCTGGGAAGCCCACTGGATCCTGCAGGTGTGGCTGGCCCTTAGCACTCACCAGTCCTGGGGCAGGGAGGCGTGCAGGACACACCTGGAGACTGCTGGGTGGGGTGCTCAGGCTGCACTGACCTGGGCTCAGAGGCAGCATGGCCAGAGCTGAGTGACCCATCTCAGCATGACATTCATGAGGACACGAACTCTAGTCCCCCTGCAGAGCCTCCCCAGCCCATCCCAGACCCAGGCCTCGGGGCCCACGGAGGACCAAGGAGGTCTCCTGTGGCCTGTCAGATGATCCCCAAGACCACAGCCACACTTGGGTCCTGCAGAGCTGACCACCACCCAGACCTACATACAAGAATGTATGCAGGATCCACAGTGGGACACCCTGGTAACTGGACCTCGCTGCATCCCTGTCACCCTAAGAAGAGCAACCCAGGTCAGGGTCAAAGCCCCAACCGAATCTGCCCTCCCCACGGTGAGTCAGACAAAGGCCCTACAGACCCAGACCCTAGCATGTCTAGGGTTTGAGGAGCCCCAAGTGGCGCCAGTGTCCCTTACTGTCCACCCAACTTCCTAGAGCAGCACCAAGACCCAGGTGTCAACAGTCATGGCCAGCTGACCTCCAGGGCCAGGCCCGCTGGTCCTGGCAGGGCACTGCCTGGACCCACGGGCACCTACCTTCAACTTGAGTGGGTCCGCATCTCGAACGAGGTCCTGTTTCCTCATCTCCGCCATGGTTTTTGGCCCCTTCCTGTCGGACTTGGAGGAGAAGCCCTGATTGGACAGCAGATCTTCAAAGTCGTTCTCTGAGACCTTGGGCTTCTGGGCTGAAAGGAAGAGGGGGCTTTTGAAGACACTGGTCCATTCTGTCCCTCGTCCACTTCTACTTGCTTCCCAGGGGGGGATCTTGTTCCTGCTGCCTCGGCAGAAAAGAAACTATGGACCCAGAAGCCCTCTGTCAAAAGCAGCCCAGAAGCTTGTGCTGGGAAGAAAGGCCACCAGGTGTGTGAAAAGTCAGTGGTCATGATGGGACAGCTGCTCCCTTGCTGGGGCACCATGGCCAGCAGCTGGAGGGGAACAGGTTCCACCTCAGTCACCCTTGGAAGACACATAACCCACACCCACATGGGCACAGGACTTACCAAAGCTGGGAGCGCGGATGCCCCTCTCCTCTCGGCCTCCAATCACACTGAAGTTAGTGGCGTAGGGGGGTCTCGACTGCATACAGGCTTTTGGGGGTGGCTTGGCCTGTGGAGGCCACGAGGTGCCCTGGGCTGGTGGCCGGTTCATCTGCCAGGAGCTGCCTTTGGGAGAAGGGGCCGACTTCGGAGTAAAGCCACCGGGAGGGAAGCCAGCAGGAGGTCCTGGGGAGAGAGCAGGTGCTCGCCAGGCTACAGCAGGCAGCGGGCCCCCAGGCCAGGCCGCCCAATCACCAGGGCCTCCCACCAGCTCCCCAGGGCCTCCCCGGGAGGGGGGGGGGGACAGGCAGCATGTTCTCATCAACCAGCGCCCCTGCCTTGCAGAGCTGGGGCTCCAATGAGCTCACCGGCACCAGGGAAGCCATGAAGCTCCTGTGGCAGGGAGAGGCCCCGGCACCTGCACTGGACGTCCCCAGGCCAGAGGCCACGGGACGTCAGGACACATGTGGCTCCACCACAGCTGCCCCTGAAGGATGTTCTAGAAATAGGTCTGGGTGTGGACAGTGGGGGAATCATGGTGTGTCCTCCCACAGAGCCCAGGCTGGCTGTTGCCAGGGGTGCTTCAGTGGCTGCACCCTCCCTCCTGGACGTCTGAGGTGGGTGTCCTTCAGGAGGGTGGTGCTGGTGTCTCGGCCACGCCGGCTGCTGCGCCCGCTACCTACCAGACTGAACCTGCTTTGCTTTCACTGTTCTAAACGTCTCCCTCAACCCGTCACTCGTTGATACCCCGCGGACGAGGGCTGTCCATGAGCACTACCGCAGAGACCAAGCTCCTCCTTGCCCTCCAGGCTGCGCGCTTCCACACTGTGCGCCTGCCTGTGCTCTTCAGTCAACTGGTGGAAGGCCCGAGGCAGCCTGTGCGTGTCCGGAGGCCTGGGCTCCAGCCCATCTGCGAGGCTGCTCACTGTGTGGGTCCACCTCTGAGAGCCAGGTCTCTCGCTCACTCCCATTGCCGTGTCCAACGTGCTGGTTCATCTGCCTTCCAAATGAATGCGGCGACAGCACGTCCATCTACAAAGTCCCTTCTGGGTTCTGGGAGAAGCCCTGCTGCTCCTGAAGGCTGCTGGACGTGGGCTGGGCCTGTGTGGATCCCACCTGCCGCCCTGGCCTCTGGCTTCTACGCTGCTCCTGTGGTTTTGGCTCCAGGTTCTGTGTGAGCTTTTTGGGTTTACGCCTCCATGGCGCTGTTAAGTGGCCATGAAGGTGCTGCTGCTTGTGTCTCTACTGGTTGACAACACGAGGTCTCTGTGCTCTCTTCACCCTGTACCTCTGTGAACAAGTGGATCCAGACTCCTGGGTGTCTCCTGTACACGTGACCATGGCCCTTCCTGGAGGCCCAATGTCCACTGTTTCTCCTGAGTGTGAGTCCCAGTCCCCTTTGCCCACCAAGGAAGACAGGCACTGGCAGTCCTCCTGGGCCAGCATGGAGAGCTGCGACGAGGCCCTGGCTGGCCGTTCCCTGAGGCTGAGCGCTGAGCCAGCTGCATCCCTCACGTGTCCTGTGCGCTACAGGCGGTCACTCCCCAAGTGTGCGAATGCCGCTAGCTCAGGTCTTGCCTGCCGAGGGTCTGTGCTCTGGGTGGGCACTGGCCCGTCTGACCTGGCATCAGGGGGCTGTGCAGAGCCAGCGGGGAGTGACCCAGCTTGTCCCAGAGACCGTGGCGCCTTCTGTGCTCACCGGAGCCCACTTTCCACACCTCCTCACACTGGTGTCATGGCTTTGAGGACTGGAGCCTCCAGGGCTGTGTGCCCAGAACTCTAGACCACTGGCACTGTGCTCATCCTCAGGGTCTTGGCAGGTCAAACCACAGCTCCTGGGGGACTCTTGACAGTGCCCTCTGTGTGCCTGCTGGGGCTCGGCCCTCCTCAAGGTGGTGGCTCTACTGCTCTGCCCTGAGGCGCGGCCTCGGGGTCCCCAAGCTGCTTTGCTCCTGGGGCTCCTGCCATCCCTGTCCTGCCAGAGGCCATGGCTAAATGAGAGGCTCTGTGCTCCGCAGCGCCTGCCAGGGACACAGGAGTGGGCAGACCCAGCCCAGCCATGACCAGGGATATCCAGGCTCCTTGCAGGTGTCTCAGCTCCAACCCCTCAGGGCTGCTGCTTTCTGAGGGCAAGTGAGGAGAGGTCCCAGGGGCCACCCCCAGCAAGCTGACAGTCAGCTCTGTCCAGAGCAGGTGCTGCCCTAGAAGTGCTGTCCTCCCCGGGCATGAAGCCTGGCAGCATCAGGAGCTGGTGCTCTCCAAGGGTACCACCCCATAGTGCCACCTGCACTCACACAGGGCACCCAGGCCACACAGGAAGCAAAGACACAGGCAGTGGCCCCTGGGGACTTCAGGCCAGCATGACCTGACGTGGACACCAGGAACTCAGGGTGAGTTCGTGGAAAGAGGTGATAACACGCACCCTCCCCAGAGCAGACGAGCAGCGAGACAGGTGGGACACGGCAGGGAAGCCCAGGAGACCAGCACTGCGCATAGGAAGAGAAGAGAGCTGGGGAGGGGACAGGACCTGCGGTGCCAGTGGTGGAGACGCAGAGCAGGTTGTGTTACCAGTCACCAGCACCCCTAGGAGGTTCCCTCCTGGAACGCCACGGGCCCCTCAGACGAGGGACAAGAGGGAAATGTCCCTGCCCCTCTCTCAGAAGCTAAGGAGATCAGCTCTAGGAAGCAGTTGCAGGGACCCCAGGGAGACCTGTCCCAGAAGCTGAGCCCAATATGGGCATCAGGCTGGGGATGTGAGGCATGGGGCATGGGCTGGGCCTGAGGCAGGTGTGAGGCTACAGGTGGGAGGTGCACAGCACTGCAGCTGAGGGCCAGGCATCAGCTGACCCCACATGGGCTGGGAGGTGACGGAGTCCCAGGGTCCTGGGTTCAGAGCACACACATGGGCAGATGGGCCTGAACCTCCTTTAGGCACACCCAGCCTGCAACACACATTACCTTGGAGGCCGGAGCTGAGGTCGCCTAGGTCAGCGAAGGGGTCCAGGCTCTGAGGTTTGGTCTGGCTGGGCTGCAGGCCAGGTGGGGTCGGCTGACCTCCTGGAGAGAAAAGGGGGCCTGGAGAGAGCAGCGGCCTTAGGCAGTGGCAAGAAGCACACACCTGCCCAGTCCTGCTCCTCCCTCCCCATATTGCAGGCCCACTCTAGGCTCAGGCTGCTCCTAAGCCTCAGACACTGGGAAGAGGGTGCACAGGGCATAGCCAAGATGCAAACACACATGTTCACACAGCTGCCTCCACTGCTCATGCTGTTCCTTCCAGAAAATAACAAGTTTAAAGCTAGCCTCTGCTAAGTTACATGAGGGAGAACACCTCAGAGTTCACTCCCGAGGACCAGGAAGGAATGTCCACAGTGTTCTGATTTTGTATCAGTACCACTTGCTAGAATCTAGCTATATGTGAAATATTCCTTACACTGTATGTAATACTGCTTATAATATAGAATATCCTCATACCACAAACTTGAGAACACCGTAAGTACAAAATCATGAGCTAAATAATTATATACACCCCCTTGATGAAACAGTATGCATTCCAAATGGCAGCTATTTTTAAATAAAGAGCTCTGAATCAACAAAAGATTAATTCCCTATGAGGAAAGAAACAAAGAACAGGAAATAACCCTCAGGGAAATACAAACAGTCAAAAACACAAAATAAGACTTGACATCATCCCTAAGAGACAAACTAAACAGCCCTGTGGATGGCCTATTACATAGTGAGACTTCTTAAAGGTTATCCAACTCTGGTGAGAAACCAAGGACAGGAATTTCGACTGGGCAATTAGGATAATAAATGAGCGCCCAGAGTGAACACACCGGTGACCCTGTGAACTGAAGGTGCTGGCCCAGAGTGTGTCAGCAAGGTGGACCTGTGCTGCCTGAGGACACTCACCAGCCTGACCACCCCAGGTAATCCCTAGCCAAATCCCTAGGCAAGTGACATTGGATGAGATACACACAACAGGTGGCCTCAACCAGTCCTCCAGGGTACAGAGGAGACACAACATGGGATGCAGGAAATGTAAAGCTGCAGAACCAGAACCAAGTGGGCAGACAAGAGCACACAGGTGTGGATTGTGTTCCAAAGCACATGCATTCCAGAAAAGGCAGGACTAGCGTGCAGGGCAGGCGCCCAGCAGGGGTAGCCTGGGACTGAGCAGGCAGAGCACAGCCTGGAGGCACAGCAGACCCTTCCTGTCCCTGAGGCTGGGTGGGTGCCTTGGAGCCCAGGCCAGGTGGCCTTACCTTCTGCGGCTGACATGGGGGCTGGCGTGGGCACAGCAGCCTCGGCCCAGGTGTCCCATCCCCCCAGCAGATCGGGGTGGCTGGAGGAGGCTGTCACCTTGCTGGGCTCTGTGGGCAGACCCCCTATAGAGACAGGACAGCGTGGCTGGTGTGTCTGCCTCGTCTCCTGGGCAGCGAGTGGGAGGCAAGCCTGGCCTAGCACTCCATGTGGCGGCACACCCTGGGGCACGAGAGCTAGGATGGCCACCCTCTTCCCACTGGGTGGGGAGGATGCATCACTGATGGCTAAAACTGACCAGCAGAGTGAAAGGTGCAGGAGACAGCCAAGGGGACCAAGCCAGCAGATAGCTGCACATTACCTGTCTGAGAGGGCTCTGGAGCCCCTGCTGCCTCTGCAGCCAGCTGCAGAGCCCCAAACCCACCTTCCACCTCTCCAAAGCCCACTCGGCCCGCAGTGGCCACCACCTGGAGGACGGGGTCCATGGCCATATGCAGTCCCTTTGATGGGTCCACAGCCAGTCCTCTATCCCGCCCAGCCCCACATCTACCAGAGCCCCAGGTGGCAAGCCCCCAAGCTGCCCACAGCAGGCGGTGGCCACGTTACTCCTGCTCCAGGAGAAGGGCGTTCTTCTGCCTCAGCTCTGCTGGCCTCTCCTGCTACCACCAGCGCCTGACCTCCACACAGACACCCTGGCTTCCAATACTCCAGCTGCCTCTTCCCAGCCCTCCTGGTCCCTGAATCCCTATCCTACCTCCTGCACCCTCACCCCATGAAAGCACCAGGAAGAGTGGCTGCTCTAGTGCACAGCAGTGGTCGTGGGTCCAGATGTGTCCTGCGCAGCAGCAAGACAAGGCCCAGAGCCTGCCCCAGGTCTTAGGGGAAAGCTCAGGCAGAATCAGAAGGAACCAACTCATCCTGACCCCATAGGTCCTGCCAGACCCCCAAGCTGCCCTGGACTGTGGGAAAGGCACCAAGAAGTAGGGCCCGTTCCCAGCATCCCAGATCTGAAGGTCCCAAGGTCCCCTCTGCTCCCAAGGGCAAGCTGGCTCACCCAAGTGCAGGAAGGTTGCATTGCAGGACGGGGGCGGGGCGCTATGGGTGGCAGGGAAGACAGGTGAGGCAGCTGCTGCTGTGGAGTCGGGGCCGAGGAGCTCGCCAAGCAGGTCAGGCGCAGTGCAGGGCTGCGAGCTAGAGTCTGCTGGTGGCCGGAGCGGGTCGAATGGGTCTGCTGAGGAGACAGGCTTTTTCTGGGGACCCCCATGGCTGTTTTTTCAGACCTTCCCACTCCATGGGGAGGTGGCCTTGGCCATGCAAACTGGGCCACCCAACTGCTTTCCCTGGATGCATGGCCCCCACGGCCCCCAGCTCAGGACAGCCACCCTGGGGATACAGCTACTCCCATGAAGGCAGAGCTGGTGGGGACGGCCGCCCTGCAGCCAGGAGTAGCTTCTCCCGAGTGCAGTTCTGTCCCAGGTCTCCAGACAAAGGGAAGCTCCCACTCCGCGCAGGAGGAGGCTGGGCCTCATTCATTCACGTGACATGCAAGTGCGTACCAGGGCTGGGAGGCCCTCCTGGCAGGGTGCTCTGCGTGCTCCGGGGTGGGGTTGGGCTGGCCAGGAGCAGGTCGTCCGGGGGCCCCTCTGGAGTGCCATTGGGTGCTCCAAGAAGGCGGCTGAGCAGGTCTGCATTGCTGGAGGGGGCCTGCGAGGGGGGCGCTGGCCCTGGGTCCACCTCTGAGTGCAGCCCCAGGAGGTCTACACCCTCCTCCTGTGGCAGGGGCTCCTGTGGTGCCACTGAGGAGCCCACTTGCAGTGTCAAGTCCCCCTGGTCAGTCCCTGCAGCGAGGCCAGGCGTGTCTTCACCAGGGAAGGTCTGCTGCTCTTCATCTGAGGCTTCGCTCCCCTCTCCATCTGCAACTGGGGCAGATGGACTCTCCTTGGGAGAGGAATTTTCCACACCAGTTTCTGCTTCTTTCTCCTCTGTGAAAAGAAGACAGACCATGGGCCAGTGGACTCCCAGGCTGCTGTAGCCAGAAGAGGCTTCACAGAACCCCAGCTGTGGCCCACACAGCCCGTAGTCAGCACCAGGGTCTCCATGCCCACTCTGGTCCATGGGACAGATAGGGAACACATCCCAAGGTTTGGCAGTAGGTGAGGCTGGCACCCAGCACCACACAACCTCCAGGGGAAGCAACATGACTAGAGGTCAGGCCTTGCCTCCAACTTCAGTAGGTCCTCTTCCTGCTGCCTCTCCAGCGCCACTGGCTCCCCTGCAGGGTGGACTCTGAGAGCTAGTCTAGCGGGGGACACCTCTGGGGACGACAGTGTCACTGGGTGGCAGTGATGTTCCCTAGGATGTCAGGAAGGGTCACTAGGGGGTGAGAAATCAAGGGCTGGGGCTGGGAGCCCGGTGTGGGCTCTGGGCAATAAGGGGCACAGGCACCCGTGTTAAAGACGGGAACCCCTGTGACTCAGAGTCCTGCTGAGGCCTCCTCCTATGCGCTGGGCTTCCCTGGGCAGGGGCCACTATCAGGCAGACCCACATTTTAGGATTTGTGGACACTATGCTTCTTTTAAATAGAGAAACTGTTCTCGGCTTGTGAACCATTTAAAACAGGCCAGCTGGTGGTGTCTGCAGCCCTCCAGAGGCAGCCATGGCTCTGCCCCTGGTCAGTCCCCTCGGGACGTGTCAGTGCACCTGACCCAGCATGTGGTGCACCCCTGTGGGCAATGGAGCCTCACTGCCACAAAAGCCATGGTGACCAGTGAGCCCTGGTTGCTGGACCCCATGAGGGAGGAGGGACAGGCCGCGCCTACCCTGCCAGTCCAGCGTGTGGAGGAAGTGGCTGGCGTCAGTGCCGCTGCTCTGTGGAGAGTCCGACTCTGAGGGCTCAGCCTCTGGAGACCCCACCTCAGCCTCGTACTGAGCTGTAGAACCCGGCTGCCTGGGGAGCTCCGGCTTCCCTGCCAGGAGAGCACGGCGTCAGGCCTGCAGAGCCAGGACCTCGGGCCAGCCAGGGCAGCAGCAGCAGGGGTAGCTGCAGGCGCCAGCAGACAGACCCATTCACGCTGCGGCACACCACGCACCACACACGCCTGCACACATGCACACGGCACCACATGCAGACCCCTCAGGGAGGATCCTCTGTCCTGGAGGAGAAAGCGCAGAGCACACACGCCAAGGCCAAGGCCGGGGGGAGCCTGCCAAGAGCCACACGGCACGTCCTACCTGCCGGGCACTTTTGTACTACTTTTGGGGAACTGCTCTGAAATAAGATGAGATACCCCCCTGAGCAAGGGCTTCCGAGAACCATGGTCCCAGCCTCCAGGTCACATTTAACAGGGTCGTGTCCAGACACACACAAACTGTGTTGGCTAGGGGGTACAAACTTGAGCCTGGAGGAGAGTCATCCTCGTGGGCCCCATGTGACCCTGAAAGCAGACTGCAGGGCTCTGTGCAGAGCAGTACCACCTCACTCTGGGGAGCCTAGCCAAGACCAGGCTCCCTGGAGGATCCAGGCAAGTGGTACAGTGTGGGAACCCAGGACAAGGTCTTAGGAACCCTCCCTGGTGCACAGCCAAGTCCTCATCCAACACCCAAAGTCGGCATTTTACCACCCCTGCAGCCATGCAGTGCACGGCCTGGGCACAGCGCAGGCTGGGGTAAGGCATGGCCTCTGCAGGCCTCTCCTGGACTCTGGGAGCACAATGGGAGCTGGAGTGCCACGTTCTGCCCATGGGGTCTTACCAAACTTAGACAGAATGTCCTGCTGCTCCTCCCGGCTGGAGAACAGGATCTTGGGGTTCAGCCCCCTCATGCTGGTGCTGTCCCATGGCGGGGCCACCCGGCTCGGCCTGTCCTTGGGCTCCACCTCAACGTCCAGGCTCACCTGGAACAGGTCTGGGTACTTCTCTTGGATGTCACATGCGTCCAGGTCGTACCTAGTTGCCAACGTACACCAGTGAGGATGGCCTGGGAAGTCCTACTTGGCCAGTCCGTGGTGGGACACATAACTCCCGCAGGCAAGGGCTGGTGCATCCCAGGATCAGCACGCGGGCCCCCAAGACGGGGCAACGGTTTCCCATCTGCTGCTGCCAGAGAGGGCCAGGCCCAGTGTTTCCTGAGTCTGTGTGCTCGAAACTGACTGAAGCATACAGGACAGCTAGATAGCGCAGTGAGCCCTGCACCTGGGAAAGTGCACTCCCTCAGGCAGGCCCTCCATGGTGGCTCCCCACACTCACGAGGGACCCCGTGTAGCACTGCCCTCATCCCCCAACCGTACACGTTCTGCAGACACTCACAGGGTTCAGATCAAGGGCTCTGGGTTTGTCAATGCACTTCTTAAAAATCATGCCATCTACCCTGGCAAACACCCCCAACTACTCTCAGAAGGCTGAAAACCAAGACCTCTGGGGCCCAACTGCCAGGGATTACAGATGCAATTTGCTGTGGGGCCTGGCGGAGGCAGAGAGAGAGGCAGGGAGGAGAAGTGGACGTTGCGAGTCCCCAGATACTAGAGGGATAGCTGCTCAGTGGCAGAGTGCCCTGCAGGCAACGGACTGTCCTAACCGGGTGGCTCTACAGTGCCCAGGGAGCTCTCCTTGATTCCAGGGCTACACGGATACATGCCACTCTTTAGCTGCGTGCCATCTGCCACCCAACGTCTCCACATAGTCGTTCTTAAGTTTCACATGTAAAACCCCCAAGAAACTAAAACAGAGACACAAAGAAGTGACAGCTAATCCTAGAAGACCCAGGCAACAATGGGGCTGCTTGCCCCTGGGCCGCCATCACCAAGGCTGCCAAGGAAGGCCAGGTAACAGAGGTTGAGTGGCAGAACGAGGGCTGATTTACTTTTACTTATACTCAAACCAGCAAGCAAGCATGGCCACCATGCACAGCCAGGTGCATCCTCCTGCCCAGGACAGTCACCTCGTGCTCGGGAGAGTGCAGGACAGAGTGGGCAGGCTCTGTGGCACAGGCTTCCTTCTACCCTGAGTCCTCCAGAATGGGTGACGTGCCCAGCCAAGGAGCACAGCTAGCACAGAGCCGGCGGCCACAGTGAGGGCAGGCTAGAACCTGCCATCAGAAGGTGGGAAGGCCACACAGCTCCCAGGACAGATGGTGGGCAGCTCCAGCATGGCTTGGCCCAATCGCCCTGGCCCCACTGGCCCTAGAGACGCCCAGCTCACCCCAGGGAGGTGAGGGAACAATGAGGGTCTGTGAGCAGGGTGGGAGCAGCAGGGCCAGGGGCCCTGGATGACAGGTCACTGCCCAAAGGCCTGGGGGGTCAGGCCAGGCCTTGTCATCTCCAACAGAGCACTGAGGGGACCCCAACACCTGGCTGGTAAACAAAAATGTTGAATGTTTCATCATGGCAGTGTGGCACACTGAAGCCCATCTGAATCCTCACTTGGTCAGAGCCATCAGAATCTCCATGGGTGCAGGCACAGAGCCCCCAGGCTCAGCTGACTGCGCTGGACGGCAACACCACTCTCCCCTCTACTTGCCCACACACTAACCAGCCTGACACCTCCTGCTGGTGCAGCAACACCAGCACCCAGGGTGCCCATGGCAGAGCCGTGTGCCACAGAACCAGGTGCTGGAAATGGGACTCCAGCTGCAAGGACTGGGAGGTGGGGTCTCAGGGTGATCGGGCTGCAGGCTCTCCCCCATGTGCAGTGGTCACTCCCCTTGGTACCCAGGAGCAGGTGCCCCTCCAACCACTTCTCCCACCTCTGGTGGCCTCAGCCCGGCCCAGATTGGCCCTGGTGGCCAGAGGGCCCCCCATGCTCTCACTTGCATTCCCACCCACTAATGGCTGTGAACAGCTCTCCACGGGATCACTGCCCCTCCAGGGCCCTCATCGGGAAGCACCTGCCAGCCCCACCCACCCTAATGAAGTACCCTGGATGTGCCCTCTGATGTGGGCACTGAAGACACCTCCCACTACTGTTGTCTGTAAGCCCCAGTGGTGTCTACTTGTGAAAACGTTCTGAGCTTCAGTGGGCACCAACGTGGTCTGTACGGGTCTGCCCACCCTGCTGTTCTTAAGTTGTTACTGGGTGCTCAGGTGCAGGAGGGCACTCTCCTGCTACTGACTGGCCCTCACAGCTTGCCTGCCACCGACTCCCAGGGTGCTATTCAGCCCCCTTCCTGTGGGCACAAACTGCGGGGCTTCCTGGCACTCCACTGCAGCTTGGATGGGTTTCTTATTATGGGCTCTTCAAGGGGCCCAGCCTGTGGGGGCCACCTGCCTGGGGAGGACGGCGGCTCTCCAGGCCCCTAGCTGGCCGCCCGTGCTCTCCACCTGCCATGGCTCTGCCTCCTCATCTCGCAGGTCTAACTTGCATCAGCCCCTTTCTTGTTGTGCCCTTTTCTCCTGTCAACTCTTGGTGCTCACTAAGGAGTCCCTTGACTCTCCAGTCTGAAGCCAGCACAAGCTGCCTGCCTCCAGGGCTCCAATGCCAGCTGCCTGCAAGCCACTGCTACCCTGAGAGCCACCAGGAGTGCTCAGTGTCTCCTGTCCCTGTGTCTTCACCTCTCTGGTGCTGTGACCAGGAGGTGGCCTCCCCCAGCTGCTATGTCCTGCTGTACAAGGTCTCCCGAGCCCCTCCTCCTCTGCTGTCCTTCGGTCCTGAATCCACACCTTCGCGATTCAGGCCTGGTGAAACCCCCGTTCCTGTCTCCTCTCACACAGTCTTGGTCTGTTTTCTGTTGCTCTCACTGCAACAGAATGACTGGCAAAGAATGAAGTTTATTCTGTTTCCTCACCGTCCCAGAAGCTGGGGAGCTTAAGGGTAGTGGGGATACTGGGAAGGCCCCAAGTAGTAGAGGACCTGCAGTGCCAAGGCAGCACCAGCTTTGCCTGGAGAGAGCCGCTCTGCCCTCACGAGACCATTCCAACGGCTAGGCCCTGCCCTTACGGCCTCTTTCAACCCACCCCCTCAACCCCTCAGGAGGGGGCCAAGTTCTGGGGGTGCTGGGGAAGATGTTGGACCACAGCAGTGCTGACTGCGGTTCTTAGGTCCTGTTTGCCGACTCGTGCGTCTGAATCATCCAGGTCTGCTTCCCTCCTGGTCAAGAGTTTCTCGGTCTATGGAAGGACTTCTGCGAGCAGGCCATGGTAGCTGAAGAACTACAGCACTCCAGAGAGCAGGAAGCATGAGGCACTGCTGCAAGACGCAGAGCTGTCCAGAGCCAGGGGCAGGGAGCACGGCAGGCCCCTGCCAGCAAGAGTGCCTGTGGTGCGAGCCCATCAGCCAGACCCACATACCACATCTCCAAGTGCCCATGGAGTCTGTGCTTTCTATCTAAATGCAGAGTGACGCCTGCCACCTGGCCTCCTGTGACAAGAGCATGGTGGCCTGTGAGAGTTGCCTGAAAGCAGCCTGCACCTTCCACCACCTGTCCCTTGGCTCAGCACCCTGCAGAGCACTGTGCACAGAGCAGGTGCTCAACACAGGTGACCAATGCCCACTCACCTGGCCATACGGCCAGCTGCAAATGGTCACATTTTAACAGAAATGCACAGAGCCAGTCCCTAGGCAGCTGGCACAAAGCAGAAGCCACCGGGCCCCAGAGCTCAGGAGCAGGACATGCTGTAAGGACATGTGCCAGGATACTCCTCATACCACCACACTTGCCAGTTTTCTCTGGGCAAACCACTGGGTGGGTGCTTAACCAACAGCTCTGGGTCCAGCCCGCCTCCCGAGCAGCAGCGCAGCCTGACACCAACGTACTTTGCAAATTTCACGGTGGTGGCGTTCCGAGGCACGAAGCCAGTGTGGAACTGAATCTGGAACATCTTCATGGAGGCCATCTGCAAGAAGGTGAAAGCAGCTGAGGGTGCAGTCCGGCATTGGAGCAGACCACCTGTCCTCGCAGCCAGTGATGGGTGGGGGGAAAGAGGCTGTGTGTGGCCCCAGGGCCATGCCGCGTGAAGCACGCAGCCCAGCACCCAGGGAAACCCAACCTGGGAGCCTGGCTCCCCTTGCCTGGTGCAGCGTGGAGGGCACTGGGGACTGCCAGGCGGCCGGGGGCCAGCACACAGCTCCCCTCCCCACGGCACTCACCTTGGCCTGCAGCCGGCCCCCCAGTGTGGACCTGGCATGGTAAATGATGAGGAGCACGTCCCCTTGCACCGTTGTGCCCAGGGGGATGACCGCCTTGCCGTCCTCGCTCCTGAACTCCCTGAGGGGACAGAACTGGCTCACCAGCAAACACAGCAGAGACCCCAAGGCCCCCCAGGACCCAGCGCTCTGAACCATGCTGCCTCCCTGGCATCTGTAGCCCCACTGCACTCTTACCGCATCCTGTCATACTCCTGGGATGTGGTGGCCACGCGCTCGTCCCCCACGTAGACCTCGCAGAAGGGTCTGCAGCCGCTTCTCTGCTTGCTGAACAGGGGAACGGGAGTCATGACAACAGCCTTCACCAGCATCGGCTTGCTGTGCGGCGTGATGGGCTCCTCCGCCACCATGTCACACACGTACTCGATGTACCTGGGGGGACAAGTCACCGCCAGACCTTTGTTCTTTTCCATTTAATGCCATCAATTTCCCTTGAAGCTTTAGCTGCTCCTCAGATTGAGAGCTGTAATCGTCATTCAGTTCAAAACATTTCTAAATCGTCCTCAGGACCCCCGAGTCTTGGGTTACTTGGACGTTGTCTGACCCAGCAGTGCTGAAGATGTGCTGGACACCCTCCTGCTCCCGACCCCTAGGTTCCGCCCCACGGTGTCCTGAGAACACACTTCATGTGACTTCGACCTTTCTGACTTGCCGAGCTAACATGCGTGACTGCTGAACATGCCCTGTGCCCTTGGGGAAGGTCTCTGCTGCTGGTGACACATTCTCGGCCTGCCACCTGGGCCAGAGGTGAGTGCTGGGTCCTGCCGTGCCAACTCCTGTGTCCTCTGTCCAGTGCCAACACAGCTCCTCCACCTTCTCCCAGGGAGTGCTTCTGCGGGAGCCTCCATGCTGCCCCTCCACGGGAGCCCTAGGCCAGCGACTGGGTCCATCACCCGCACTGCACAGGCTCTCCTTGGGGTGTAGCAACATGAGGACTACAGCTGCCAGCCGATGGCTGGAAGCAGGACAGGGCCTTTCAGCCAGAGCAAGCAGATGCTGCCCATGGTGCAAGGGCCCAGGAGCCCTCTGGGTAGGAGCACGGCCCTCCTGGTGAGAATGCAGCTCACTATCTGGATGCAGCCTGCGTGGCCTGCAAGGGACCTGTCCTGGTGCTCAGGCTCCTGACCCAAGGGCTGTAAGGGACAAGCACACTGCTCGCATGGAGCTGGCCTGGCTCCTGCCAGCCCCAGGTGTCAGTCCCTGTGGCCCTCCCAGCCATTCTCGGCTTGTCCTGAATGCTGCTGTGCCGGCAGCAGTCCCCGCTCGCTCCATCAGCTCTCTTCATTTTCCTTCTGTTCTTCAGCCTTCTCCTGGGTCAGTCAGCTGCACTGTGGTCAGAAGCCAGGGCCTCATGTGTGAGGCAGGCACTGCAGTGAGCCATGCCCAGCCCTAACAGTGCATCTTCATGCTTCTGTTCCTTTTCTTTGGTGGACCTGCCACAGCCCCCACATGCGGCACCCACGTGTCAGTCTGCAGTGTCTGAGCTGAGGCGGGTCTTCCTGTCTGGGTTCTGGTCCTGCAGTGTCACGAGGCTGGGAGTCTGTCGTCAGCTCAGAGACTCTTGGGCTTCTCTTTGGTGTATCTATCTTCCGCTCTCCCCCTTACAGTGGGATGCACTGTGTGTCCGGCTGCCTGCAACAGGCCACCAGCTCCTAGTCTCTTGGCTTCTGCTATCTGGTGGGCAATGTGACCTGTCACCAAGCCCCCAGCTCACTCCTCAGCAGAGTGGAATCTGCACGCAGCCCCTTGGGTTCTATGCCCTGGAGCTCCCACCTCACATCCTGCCTTCCCAGGGCTCGGCAACCAGCGGGCTGTTGCCAGCTCCCCAGCATGACAGTGTGGTGCTTGGCCCCATTCAGAAGGAAAGCTCAGGCAGGGTCTGTGCCAGGCACATGGCAGAAGGACCTCCACGGGGGCAAGGGCCCTCCTGAGCTAATGGCCCCAGAGGCTCTGCCCTTGCCTCTGCCTCGTCAGGCAGCACACTGGGCCTGCATCGACCTGGTGCTCAGCCCGTCAGCCCGACGGCAGGGCTCTTACTGCCCTAGCAGTGCTGACACACCTCGCATCTGGCCAGCTGGGGCATGAAGGTGGGGCCCGCTGTCAGGAGCAGCACCCTGAATGAACATCACTGTGGTGCTGCTGGGGTGCCCAGAGTCCCTCCTTGTCCTAACTCGTGCATAGCAGGTCCCAACACGCAGGACCCAGGAGAGCAAGTGGCCTGTGCCCCGGGAGCCGAAAAGCCCTGCATAGTGCTCTGGTCCTAGGCAGAAAGCAGATGAGGCAGGTCCTGCTTCTGGGGCCCTGTGAGTGTTGGGGATGTCATGGCCCCTCAATGGCCTGGGCCCTGCCTCTTCCCAGTGTCCCATGCTGGCTGTGCTCCTGTGCTCTGCCCACTCTTGGGGGTTTCTGCTATCCACAGAGAGGTTCCAGGTGCCCCAGGTCCTCATCAAGATGAACCACAGGGTGACTCCTCAGACCTGGCCATCCAGAGGTTCCCTATCACTGCAGGAGAACGGGCAAGAGTGGACATCAGTAGACATGACTGGTGAAGGCAGAAGTCCCAGAGAGGATGGGAAAGTGCAAGGCAGCTTCAGCCTCCAGCCACAAGAGAAGGGCCCAGGCGGTGCCCATGCAGAACAGGACATGGCCGGAGTGTTCTGAGGGTGCAGCAGTGTCCGACGCCTCACTCATGGTGGAGCATGGCACTGCACACCTGCAGCACCACGGGCCACATGTTCCACTTCACCTCCAGAGCAGAGCCCACAGGCTCCCGGGGGGGGGCAGCACCGTGCAGCAGGAGTGTGGTCCCCCAGGCTCACACACCTGCTGCAGGACCCAGTTCCAGGAGTTAAACAGGGAGTTGCCCATCACAGGTTGGGCCCTCACAGTCCTCAAGTCCCAGTTGAGGCCAAGCCACACCCACTGTGGTGCTGACCACCTGGGAGCAGCTGCTTGGATGGGCTCTAAGCCCCCCAATAGCCCACCTGTGATGACACTGGGTCCAAGGCAGTGGGACACCGCCGCCTCAGCACGGAGCAGTGGTCACCACCTTGGCAAAGAACACACAGTACCTTTTGTGAGATGGCCAAATGCCTGGCGGACAGCGCTTCATGCTGAACATGTACACGGCGGCCTCTGCAGTGCTGAAGAGACGGCAGAAGCACAGGAAGGCGCACACAGCCACAGCGGACGCAGCTTTCCCATCCTAAGACGAGGACACAGGCCCTTCACCTAACTGCTCAATGGTGCGGAGGGCTCTGCTGGCTCCTATAGACTCCCCCACTACAGAGTACCAGGCATGGCACAGACATACGCACCCTCTGACCTTGCGTATGTTCAGGAACATAGAGCCCGGCGGAGAACGAGCACAACCGGCCAGACAAGCACAAGTGGCCAGCTCCTGCGGCCACCATCCCACACAACCTCAAGCTTGACCCACGGCCCCACAGACTCAACCCCTTTCCCTGAATCTGCCAGCACTGAGTGCTTCTTGTAGTGTCATGCCCTGGGGAAAGCTCACGGATGCTCCCTCACTCTGCAGACCCAGACACAGAGGAGGTGGCGGGCATGGCCATGACCAGGCAGAGACCTGATGAGGATGCACTGGTCACGGTGCCCAGGGATGCCCTCACCAAGCACTCTTCCACAGGCAGGAGTCACCCCACTGGGCAGTCCGTGTGCCCTGGGGCAGGAACCCCTCTGCTTGCTGCCTGCCCCACCCAGGGAACAGTGCCTGCTCCATTTCCAGCAGGCCAGTTCTGGTGGAGAGCAGGAGCACAGGCTAGCCGGCCCCTCCGACTCACCATACAGTGCACAACACAGACGTTCCTGTGGTCCTGCCGCAGCCAGGAGTGCATGTTCCTGCAGGTGGTGTACAGGCTGTGCAGGTGTGGGGCCCGCCTGGCTGCCCAGCCGCACTCAGAGACCTGTAGGAGGGGCCGGCTCGGCTCAGCTCATGCATTGATGCTGTGTACTGGCCCACACCTCACTCGTGCCCACCATGTGCCGCACTGTCCTTCTCTTAAGTGTGCTGAGAAGGTGCCCAAGGCCCTCCTTAGTTGATGTTCATGTGCAGTGGACCTGTGACCCTGGACTGTGTGCCATAGGACACAACTCCTAGGACACTTTTTCCTGTGCTTTGTGTCAGCCCGAACATGTAACACCTGTTTAGCACATGTTCAACACAGGAGCTCATGGCCACACTGCCCTGGAGGTCAGGAGCAGTAAGGTAGGGACACCTGGTCTGATGACACAGTGACCCCCAGCCCCATGGCTCTCCAAGACCCTGGGCTCCTGCCACAGCCCACCTGTCCCAAGCCCGGGTCACCTGCAGGCTACATGGGTGAGACAGGTCAGTGCAGGATGGCAGCCAGGTGGCTCATCACCACATGAACCTGTGTTAAGTGGGGAACAGCCACCAGGGTCACGCCATGATGAGCAGGGGACACTGACCCGGTTGTGGAACTTGGAGGCCCGGTAGGTTCGTGGGGACAAGTTGTAGACAGCGTAGTGCCCTGGGTGCTTGGCGTCCAGGAACAGCCGCACGTCCTCAATGTTATTCTTGATGGCTGACTCCACGCCTTCAGCTGGGAAGGACATCACTGAAGAGAGCAGCCTGTCAGCCTCCAGCCAGGCAGCCTCCTGCAGCCTTCCCAGTTGCCCTCTGGCCTCCTGGCCTTTGGGGATGCCTGACCTGGGCTGCTAACCAAGGTGCAAAGACCACCCCTATGGGAGACCCCACAGAACAGCCACGGGGGCTCCAGGAGGCCTTCCCTCACAGGGGTGCCAGCAGGGTGCCCAGGCATCAGGAGACACTTCTGGTTATTTTGTGCCTGGAGAGCCACATTCCAGATGTGCAGCCTGGCATCGGAGCTCCAGGCAGAGCCTGGAGGTGTGTGGACACAGAGCCCTGCCTGCAGTGACTCTGGGAGCCTCCTGGGGGCTCATGTTGGGGAGGGCCAGAGGCTACCCTGGCCAACATACCAGCAATTCTAGATGTGATGTAGGATATATCCAGGTCACCCTTGGCATAGCTGGAATTGGAAAAAGAGCATGAGGTTACTGCAGGAAGCACATGGCAGTCACCCCAAGGCACTCTTGCTGTAGGCGCACCCCACCAGCAGGTGTGTGCGCAGACACAGGTGCGTGTGCGCGCAGAGTTCTGTGTGTGTGGAGCTAATACCTAACCAGAGGTGAACAGGAAGCGGGCGAGGCAGGCCCAGCAGGGCCTTTAGCCACCTTACCACTTTCCTGAGTGTTGGGGGCTGATCTTGAACAAGATGTGAACACAGTTAAGACTGCTGCAAAGGCCAGCAGCCTGAGGGCAGGATACATCTGGAGCCACACAGGCCACAGAGAGCCAGCAGACACTGAGGGAAGGCAGGAGGGGAGCTGCAAGCTCCTGAGACCCACCCTGCGGTGGTCCTGGCCACCTCCTAGAGACCAACTATCCTCTGAACAGTTCCATAGCACCAACAGAATGCTGACAGAACTCCTCAGTGACACAGAGAAGGTGACAATCCTATTCTAAACTCCAACTCAATAAACAGTCATGCAAGCACAGCCAACACACTCTGAGAGGTGGGACCAGGAGCAGGCCAGTCAGCATGCAGAGCAGCTGGGCCACAGCACCCACCACAACTGAGCAGGGAAGCAAGCACACCACAGACCAGGGCAGGCACCCAGGTGTTGTCAGCAGAGGGGTGCTCACCAGCCGGAGCCAGCAAGAGGTCAACAGAGCGAGGCCCAGATAGGTGGAGGCCCAAACACAAGACGTATTCATAGTAATCTTAACATCGTGGGGTGGGGGACGCTGGGGGTTGGACCCATGGTTCTCTACCACTGAGCTACATACCAGCCCCCGCTTTTAAATACTTTAAGTTGAAGATAGACACAATACCTTTATTTTGTTCATTTTTATGTGGTGCTAAGGATCAAACCCAGTGCCTCACACATGCTAGGCAAGCACTTTACCACTGAGCCCCAGCCCCCAGACCTGTTTTTTTAAAAAAATTCTTTTAGTTTATTTATTCTAATTAGTTATATACGACAGCAGAATGCAATTCAATTCATATTAGACAAATAGAGCACAATTTTTCATGTCTCTGGTTGAACGCCATTCATGTCTTCATACATGTACCTAGGGTAAGAATGTCTGTCTCATTCCACCGTCTTTCCTATCCTCCTGCCCCCTCCCGTCCCCTCCCTCCCCTTTGTCCTATCTAAAGTTCGTCTATTCCTCCCATGATTCCCCCACCATCCCCATTATGAATCAGCATCTTTATATCAGAGAAGACATTTGGCATTTGGTTTTGGGGGTTGGTTTACTTCATTTAGCATTATATTTTCCAACTCCACCCATTTAACTACAAATGCAATGATTTTATTCTCTTTTAATGCTGAATAATATTCCATTGTGTATATATACCTCATTTTCTTTATCCATTCATCCACTGAAGGGTATCTAGGTTGGACCCGCAATTTAGTTATTGTGAATTATGCTGCTATAAATGTTTTATGTGGCTGTGTCCCTGTAGCATGCTGTTTTTTAAATCTTTTGGGTATAAACAGAGGAGTGGGATAGCTGGATCAAATGGTAGTTCCATTTCAAGTTTTCCAAGGAAACTCCATACTGCTTTCCAGATTAGCTGCACCAATATGCAGTCCCACCAGCACTGTATGAGTGTGCCTTTCCCCCCACATCCTCGCCAACACTTATTGTTGTTTGTATTCTTGATAACTGACATTCTGACTGGAGTGAGATGGAATCTTAGAGTAATTTTGATTTGCATTTCTCTAATTGCTAGAGATGTTGAACATTTTTCATATATTTGCTGACTGACTGTAATCTGAGAAGTGTCTGTTTAGTTCCTTGGCCCATTTATTGACTGGATTATTTGCGGGGGGGGGGGTTGGTGTTAAGGTTTTTGAGTTCTTTATATATCCTGGAGATTGGTGCTCCATCTGATGTGTGTGGGGTAAAAATTGCTCCCATTCTGTAGGCTCTCTGTTCACTCACTTTTTCTTTTGCTGAGAAACTTTTTAGTTAGAATCCATCCCAGTTATTGATTCTTGATTTTAATTCTTCTACTATAGGGAGTCTTATTAAGGAAGTCAGGGCCTAATCCTACATGATGGAGATTTGGGCCTACTTTTTCTTTTATTAGGTATAGGATCTCTGGTTTAATTCCTAGGTCCTTGATTCACTTTGAATTGAGTTTTGTGCCATGGTGAGAGATGGAGGTTTAGTTTCATTTTGTTGCATATGGATTTCCAGTTTTCCCAGCACCATTTGTTGAAGAGCCTATCTTTTCTCCAATATATGCTTTTGGTGCCTTTTTCTAACATGATATAAGTTTATTTATGTGGGTTTGTCTGTGTCAGACCTTTTTAATTTTTATTTTGAGACAGAGTCTTGCTAAGTTGCTGAGGCTGGCCTCAAACTTGACATCCTTTTGCCTCTACCTCCCAAGCTGCTGGGATTAGAGTCATCACTGTGCCTGGCTTAATCTATTTATTTTTCCCCATAGCTTTATTGAGGTAAAATTGAAGTACAATAAAATGCACATATTTGAAGTATGAACAGAAATATATGAAATATAGAAGAAATAATACAGCTAAAATCTGATAAAAACCAAACAAGTCTAATTAAAAAAAGAACAGAGAGATTAATACCAATGAAAAAGGAGCTATCAATATTTTGATAATAAATGCTAAAAACACATTAAGGTCATATTACAATTATACGCCAACATAGTGACAGCTTATATAACATGGTCATATTAGAAAAGGATCCGTATGCTGCTGAGAAGAAAGTGTATTCAGTCACTGATGGATGCAATATTCTATGGATGTCTGTTAAGTCTAAGCTATCTATTATATTTCTTTACTTCTATAGTTTTTATTTTTAATTTTCAATGGAACTTTATTTTACTTATTTATATGCAGTGCTAAAGACTGAACCCAGAGCCTTACACATGCCAGGCAAGTACTGAGCTACAACCCCAGCCCCTCTACAGCTTCTTTATTTAGTTTTTGCTTGGAGGATCTATCCAGTGATGACAGAGGCTTGTTAAAGTTATCCAGTATTATTGTGCTGTGGTCTATTTGATTCTGGATATCGAGAAGGGTTGATGTACACAGATGCTCCATTGTTTGGGCTATAAATATTTATGATTGTTAAGCCTTGTTAAAGAGTATGAAATGGCTTGGCTAAATCTTAACATTTTAAAAGTTTGTTTAGACCTATTTGCAACCAGCGAACTCAGGGTGAGAGGACCTCCCTAAAGAAGACAAAAAGTAGAAGACTACAGTAGCAAAGCACAGGCAAGTCTCATGCTCTGGTGCTGTTGCAGGATGAGGCACTTAACACAAGCCACAGTCTGGGACAAAGTATTTTCTGTGGGGCTGGGGCTGTGGCTCAGTGGTAGAGCGCTTGCCTAGCATGTGCGAGGCACCAGGTTTGATTCTCAGCACCACATAAAAATAAATAAAGGTCTGTTCACAACTAAATACACACACACATATGTATAACTGGATTTAAAAAAGTATTTGCCATGTGTTTCTACACACACACACAAGTGATTCAGAAAACATTCAGTATCAGCATGAAAACAGGATCAAAAACCCAGCTGTATGTGCTGGCAAATGCCTGTGATCTTTGCTACTTCGGAGGCTGAGGCAGAAGGGTCGCAAGTTCCAGGCCAGTCTGGGCAACTTAGAAAGGCCCTGCCTCAAGAAAACGGAAAGGGCTGGGGATGTGGCTCTGGGGTAAGGTGCTGTCCTAACATGTGTGAGGCCCTGAGTTCAAGTCCCAGCACCACTAAACAGATGAATGAGTGAACAAACCTCCACAGCCAACAGCAAAGGCAGACACACCCACCTGAGGGGGAGCACCACCCACCCTCAGGGCCTGGCTGCCCCTCCAGGATGACACACACACCTGGCTGCCTGGCACAGTGGGCAGAGCAGAGGCAGCAAGACCCCTGGCCCAGCACAACGTAGGCATCGGGTGCACCCACACCTCAACCCCAACCTCCCCTGCCGGGTGAACCTGAGGGCTGGCCGTGTGAGCATCAGACACGTGTGAAAGGCTGTCAGCCTGCATCCCAGACTGAGAAGAGCCGAGGCTCCAGCTGCTGGGACAGGGCAGCCATGGACACTGTGAGCAGCTCAGGGCTCAGGGCCACTGCCACCCATCCCCACACCTGGGCCCCTTCAGTGGGAAGAACCAAAAAATGAAGAAGCAAGCTGGGGATGCCTGGCACGCACAGGGGCCTAGGGTCCACCCCAGCACCACACACACACAGAGGGGCTCGCTGCTACTTCTAAAGTTCATCTCACACACGGTGTCTGCAGGACAGTGTCCAACTCAAGCATGCACCCCAGGCAGATAGGCACACATGCAAGCACATACACATGTGTACATGTGGACACCTGTCCCTGCCTGGGCTGAGAACACCTGTGCACACCAAGGCATCATGGCACACAGAACAAACAAATAAAAGGAGGCCAGAAAGCCCCACGCCTGCAGAATGTGGAGGACAGGGCTGGTCCTGATGCCCACACACAGCATGGTTCCTCAGTGCTCTCTCAACAGCACCCGAGTGGCCAGCAGAAGCAGTATGGGGACCAGGGCCAGCAGGGCTGAGCCCCGGACATGGGGCTGTACTCTGGGGCGTCCCTAGCCTACGGTGGTGCTCTATGACCACATGCTCAAGCCATGTGGCCAGGAGACCTCATCGATGAGGAGACAGTATGCCTTACAGTCACTTTACCTGTCATACACCCAGAAAAACAATGTGACAGTGTGTTGGGGACTAGGGAGAGGGGCCCAAGCTGGGCACAGCCCAAGCCCAGGGACAGTCCCAGCAAGAGTCTAGGCATGGGCTTCCCCAGCTCCATGGTGCTGGGCTCACTCTGAGTTTGCCTGTGGCTCTGTCCTTGGCACTGGGGACAGATGGGGCATAGACCACACTTACTTAGCAACAGACTGGATGACCTTGGAGGAGGTGTCCTTGAGGTTAGTGAAGAGTCGCTCGGTCCCACCCCGCAGGATGTCCAGGAGCCCACCGTGAGGCTGGTCGTACTCAGCCAGTGCCAGGCCTGCAGGATAGGCAGGGCGTGGTGTGTGAGGGTGCCTGCAGCATGGAGGTGTGTGGGCCCTGGGAGGTGCTGCTGGCCCAGCCCACACTGAGGAGTGAGCCTGCCTGGGCCCTAGCAGTCTGACAGCTATTCCCCCGGTCCACAGGCAGGGTTTGCAGCTGGAGCTGTACCCTATGTGGCACTGTGGGCAGAGGCCACGCCACCCTGGCTGTGAAGTCAAAAAGTGGAGGCTGACCAAAGTGGACCCCGAGAGCACAGGTCCTGCAGCGAGAACTCACAGGCTTCAGTGTGCAGCTGTGGATGCGACTAGGCTCCAGGTTCATATGGCTACCACACTGCACCTGCTGGGCCCTGTGGGGTGGATCCGGAGTGCCCAAACACAGGGAAGCCAGCTGGTGGGGCCAAGCCCTCTCCTCAGGAGACCAAGAGGACTGGGCGGGGGGCTTGGCCCATGGCCAGCATGTGCCCATGTCCCTGCCCCAGCACCCTCCTCTCTCCCCCAGGCCCAGGCCCCCACAGATACGCTCACAGAAGCCCACTCTGCACCAGGAAGAAGGCCATGCTCTAGCACATGGCAACTCAAGCCATGGGCACAGGTGGCCCCCAGCCCTGCAATCTCTCCCGCAGCCCAGCTCTACTCCCGGCTCTGCCCCTGTTCTCAGCTCCAGGGAGGGACCCTGGAACATCCCTATTTCAAGGAAGCCAGTTTCCCTGTAGCCTCGGGCTATGTAAGACAGCCCAGACACTGATGGTGTAGGTGGCTTTGGGCCTCAGAGTGTCAGACTGACTTCTGGGAAAGCTGGAGACTGAAGTCAGCTGCACCTAGGAGCCTGGTCCCAGGATGACCCTGGCCATGAGCTGGATCCAGGTGCTGACCACCCCTGGGACAGGACCCCGGAGACCTATGCCTGGCCTCTCCTGGACCTTGCCCCACTCCCAGGAACCCACACCACACCTTGTGTGCATGAGCTCAGCTGAGCCATGAGACTTGGGGAGTGCAGGGACCAAGCCTTGTCGTCTGTCTCTCACCACCAGGCTAAAAGTCCCACAGGAGAGGGAGTTGGGGCTCCATCTCAATATGTGCCAGGTGTCCAGTGCACAACAGGGGGTGGACAGTGGGCACAAGTACTCACCTCCACTGTAGCCACAGCTCACAGGGCCTCCGGCGGGGGGTGGCACTCGGGATGGCCCTGGGTTCCCACAGCCTCCATTCTGCTCCAGCAGCTATAGGAATCAACAGCATAGCGTTGGCGCCCTGGGGAGCCAGACTGTTATTCACCTGCCTCAGCTTAAACACGCGGCCCTGCACTAAGCTGCTCTTCTTCCTGCTAAGGGTCTAGGTGGAGGGCAGGGCACTGTGGCCCCAAAACACTCAGCATGGGGAGGAAGCGGCTGTGGGCCTCAACCCACACCTGGCTGAGCGCCCTCCCCCGCCTCTCCAGCTTCTTCCCTATCCACCCAACCGCGGGAGGCAGATGCATGGTGCATGCAGACGAGAGGCACAGGCATCTGGGTGCCTGGGATAGGGCTGCTCCCTCCACCACGGCACAGCCCCGCTTGGGGAGTGGGCCCCAAGGAGCAGTGTGACAGCCTTGTAAGCCCAAAGGTCAGAGTGTACTTGGAGTCCCCATGGACCAGTGCACCTCCTCAGTGCACACCCCATGGAGAGTGAGGCCCATGGCCCCTACATGCCACCTGGCCCCTATAACCTCCACGGCCTGCAGCATACTCTGCAGGGGCCCGGAGTTGCCCTGGCCACAGAGCAGTCACCGAGAGGTGTGGACACGCCTGCCAGCTCTTCTCTTCAAAACAGACCAACCATCCTACCTCCACAAAAATTTCTCATTGAGACCCTCAGTGCCACCAATCAGCCACCCCAGACCTTCAGGATTTCCTCTCTGGCACCTCTCCACTAACCCTGCCCTATTTCCTGCTGCTCCCCAACATATGAATCATAAACCTTAGCCTCCTATGCCCAACTCCCTCCTAGGGTCCTGGGTGAGCGTGCAGGCCAGCAGAACTCCCGTGCCCTGGACCACCCCCAGCAGCACAGACAGCACCGTCCCACCACACACCCTGCTTTGACAGCCCCTGGAAAACCCTGCTTCCAGCTGTGAGAGACACAAGGAGCTGACAGACAACCAGAAAGCAAAGAGGACAGGGCCTCGCCTTCACAGGAGGCAGAGCCAGAGGGGAGGGGTGAAGTCTGGCCTGAGCCCTGAGCTGCACAGATGGGTCCCACTCCCAGAGGTATGGGCAGACCTCATGGCTACCTCAGGAAGAGTCCTGCAGCTAAGCGCCAGGGCCCTCCTGACCTGCCCACTTTCCTGGGTATGTAGCCACAGGGAGCCTCAGCCCAACAGCTGGCTGGGGCCTGGACAGTCCCAAAGCCATGTGAGCCAGCTGCGGGTGGAGACTGGACATGATCATAAAGCCACAGAAGGACACTTGACCTCAGAAACCGTGACATGCAGAAAACAACACACATCAGCAGAATCTGGACAAGAACCACCAGACAGTTTTGATGGAGTGACCCTGGGCCTAAAGTGTGCGCAGAGCATCAGGGCTCCAGTCAGGACCAATGCAGTACCTGGGTCTTAAACCTGGCTGCGGGTCAGGACTCCAGCCTGCACAATAGCTGCTAGCCCAAGAGGACCTGGAACTGCACACAGAGCAGTGGCAGGACACCCTTACCTCCGTGATGGGTGCCTTGGGGTTCAGATTCCTGGCTGCGGCCATCTCCTGCAGTTGGCGGACCACCTCTGTGATGGACAGCCGCTCCTCAGGGTTGACCCTCAGCATGGCACCTGAGGCAGAGCACAGCAGCCCACTGGACCCCATGTCGGCTCCAGGGCAGAGCACGGCCAACTCTCACCTGGTTAATACCAGAGTGCCAACTCTGGGAGGAAGGGAGAGCAGCAAAGCAAAGCACAACCATAAAACTGAACCAAGTTATCAGAAAGGTGCTAGAACGTCGCAAGTTCAGTGGGGCAGAGGCTGGGGTCCAATGGAAAAGCACAAGTGCAGGAGCTGTGGGCAGCGGGTGAGGGGCACCCAGGCCCCTGCACCCACCAGCCTGAGGGGAACTTACGAATGAGGCTGTGGAAGATGGTGTACCGAGAGTCGTCCCCGGGGATCGAGTACTTCCCGTTGACTATGCGAAGCTTTGCACCATCCTCAAAAGGGTGCTGCCGGAAACACAGCAGGTACAGGATGCAGCCCAGGGCCTGCAGGGAGAGCAAAGCTGAGGCGGGCCAGGCCAGGGGACCAGGGCATGGGTTGAGTAGGGCAGAAGAGCAGCCCTTTCCTCAGGGACCCCTTTCATGCTCTTGGTCCCACCCCACAGGAAGCCTAACCCTTTCCATCCTACCGGACCCAAGAAATGTCTAGGCTGCAGGATTGAAGCACCAAACTCTCATTTTCAGATCAAAAGGTCCCTCAAAACATACAGCTAGGGCTGGGGCTGTGGCTCAGAGGTACAGTACTAGCCTAGCACGCGTGAGGCACTGGGTTCGATCCTCAGCACCACATGGAAAAAAAAAAAAAAGGTATTGTGTCCACCTACAACTACAAAATGAATGTTAAAATAATAATAATTAAAAAAAAAAAACCTATACAGCTAAGCACAGGGACATGAATTGGGCCACTGGGCACCAGGGAGGACCTCGCTGCGCAGCTGCCAAGGATTCTTAGCCACAGCAGTGGCTGGGTAGCTGGCTGCTTGCTGCTCAGGGGAGAGACCCAGCCTCCAAGTCACACAGGCCTCCTGTCCACCATGTAAGTGTAGTATGGCCACCCTCAGTCCAGGTGGCAAGGCCCTGGAGAGGAACAGGGAGCCCTGGGCTCACCTGACCCGGAGCTTAGGCCAGGCAGACCCCCCACTGCCTGGTGTCTTTGCTGCCTTGGAGCCCACTGATCCCCAGCTGGCTCTGCTCAACTGGGTTTCCCCAGAAGTTGTCACCAGTGCTCTTCAGCAGACCAAGTCAAAAAGAAAGGAGGAGGCCCAGGGGACAAGGGTTGCTGGGTCTGCAGGCCTGCTCAAGCCAGGTGCCATTAGGTAATCAGCCTCACCCAGATGTCCTGCTTCTCTCCGATGGGGAAGTTGGAGTACAGGTCTACGATTTCTGGGGTTCTGTACATGGGTGTGGTGTTCCTCGTGATCTGAAGAAAAACACAAGTGTTTCAGAGCAAAGTTACGTGTAAGCCTTTCTTTTTGTTTCACATCAAAACCCTGCAACATGGACTGGGGCTGTCGCTCAGTGGCAGAGCGTTTGCCTACCATGCATGAGGCACTGGGTTTGATCCTCAGCACCACATAAGAGTAAACCAATAAAACAAAGCATTCTGTCCATCTGGTCTATACAACAACAAACCCTGCAACTTTTTAAACTCTACCACAGGCTAGGTGGTGCCCTGTCCTGTCATGGAGTCCCAGAGGCCTTGGTCACCCACTTTTAACAGAACATTGCTGTCTACGCAGGAGAGGCACATCTCAGTCGGCTGAGCCCACTCTAGGCACTACATGCAGACCGGCCACAGGAGGGCCACGTGAGCTGGGGTGCTGAGTGACAGAAGATTCCACACAGACACTACTGTGGACACAAAAACCTCTGTAACAAGAGAAGTGACCACATGTATTGGCTGGCCAGGTCTAAAAACTGAGCCCCATGTACTTAAGAGGGCTACACCCCCACAGCACAGAAAATGTGAGTCTCAGTGCAAGGCTCAAGCATACAGCCACCCCCAAGTCACAGATGCCACAGGGACAGCCAATACCCAGGAGCCATACGGCAGCAGCCACTTCTTCAACAGATGGGATACAGGATGCACTGTCCTCTGAAAGACCTGTGGTCCACAGGCAACCTGAGGCTGGCAAGTGGGCAGCCACAGGACAGTGGTGCAGGGTGGGGCACAGTGCCACCAGAGCTCCCAGCAGAAAGGACACACACAGCACGACCCCGGCAGACTCACTTCAGGATGGGGGAGAAGAGCAGCCAAGAGCAGGGCAGTGTGAAGACACCCCTGCAGGACCAGGAGGAAACTGAGCAGCAGGGACTCAGAGCCACGAGGGGAGGGCACCTGGCGATTGCTCCCCAAAGCACTGTCCAACAAACTAGCGAGGAGCGACCTTCCTGAAGGACACGCACAGCCAGGAGCTCTGGGCTCAACCTGATGGCACCTGGAGCTGCAGCTGGGAAAACTCACATCAGTAACACCACTGGTAGCTGAGCTCTCGCCAAGGAGGGAGCAGAGCCAGGAGCCCTTGGGCTGGCTGGCGTGGAGCATGGCATAGACCTGGGGCTGTGGGCTGAGGGCACACAATTCACATGTGAACACATGCACGCATATGTGTACACCAGTGAGCACATCTGCTCTGGCGTCTCAGAGGAGGCAATCTCAGGGCCTCGGGGTAGCAGAGAACAATCAGTACTCCTGTCACTAGCACTCCAGATGACGGTGAGAGCCATTCTCTACCACACTGACACAATGCCACAGACCAGGCGAGCATGAGTGGGCTGCTCTGGCTCCTGGTTCTGCCCAGGGTCACAAGTGCACATCTGTGGCAGTTGTCTTGCTGGCAGGGCCCCAGGGCAGCCCAGCTCATGTGGAGGCAGCAGAGCACCCTGCGCACTGCCATCTGTATGTCGTGGTGCTTTACTGCTGAGCTGCACCCTAGTCCTTTTTATTCTTTGAGACAAACTTGTCATCCTTCCACCTCCGCCTCCATAGTAGCTAGGATCACAAGTGTGATCACCATACACAGCTCTTCCTTCGTGTAAAGCCACCAAAGGGCTCTTCCCTGATGACTCATCTAACCCTGATGGCCCTCCAAAAGACTCCCATGAGCCTCAGGGTAGGTTTCTATCCCCTTGGGGCCTCGTGATGGGATTAAACTACAACCTGTGTTCAGGAGAACGAACCATATTTAAACCACAGCAGTTGAAAAAGGTCAGAACATTGAGCCAGCCTGAAGCAGATCTAGGACATTCTTGTACCACAATTAAGGATACATGCTCACCATGGGAAATGTGGCACCACAGTCCCCGTGAAGACAAGCGAGCGGGCACGAGCTCCTGCCTCGGCCACGTGCAGAGCATTGAAAGCCGTGCAGCAGCACAGAAGGCTCAGGGAAGCTGCACTGCAGGCAGCCCAGGGCAGCCAGCTCACACACCTCCAGCAGGCCCTCTGTGGTGGGTGGCAGCATGCTGTAGGAGCACCAGATACACGGCACCCCATGGTCTGTCCACACTGGAGATGGCTGATGGCGCTACCTCCACTGGTACTAGATCCTCGGGGCCAAGGGGACCTCCTCCCCAAACTCTTGTGCGGAGTGGGGCTGTGAGACAGCCAGCAAAGGCCAGGCCTCCTCCCTGTGCTCTGACCAGCTCAGCACATGGCCCAATTCCTCCTGAGGAATTGGCCAGCCAACCCGAGACAACATGGCTGGGCACTCAGCATGTGGCCCTTTCAGTAGGCCTGTGACAAAAGTGGAAAACCCGGAAGCATGGCTCTGATCCAAGGACATGCTGCTGGGAGCCCACAGCTCTTTGGTAAGGCCTGTTCCGTGTTAAGAAGTAGGTGTTCTTCTCAGGCAGCAAGCAGGAGCAGCACTACCTCCTCCCACACCACATACAGCACGGGAGGAAGGTGCACACCTCTGCACAGAGCAACCTGGCCACAAGGCAAGCTCCACGCAGGACAGACTGATAGGGGCCAACCCTCCATGCACAATGCCCCACGGAAAGGCCATCTTCCACCACCCTCTGAAGTCTTCTGTCAGACTCCGTGCCCCAGCCCGTGGCTCTCTGCTCTGAACAGTTCTGTCTATGGGATTCACACAGACACCATGAGCTCAAGCTACTGTAGAACTTGAGCCACAGTGCAGCCCACCTGCTGCATGATCTCCTGGACATGGAGGTGCACTTTTAAACCATACTTTTGAAAAACAGGAGATGGTGATGGTGATAGCTGCACAATGCCATGAACAAGCACACATTAACACCACTGAACTGTGCACTTAAAGGGACTGCCATGGCACATCTGTGTGCACCTAACAATAAACATCCAAGGGAAAACAGGCATTAAGATATTCAGAGCCATCTGCTGCGAGGAAGAGGGTGAGATGAGAAGGATATTGTGGAGGGCAGCCTGGAACAGGACAGGCCCCCAGGACACCAGGCCCAGCTGTGGTTCACAGGGACATGCTCAGGCTCGTACATGAGGGATTGAGAAGGGAAAGGAAAGGGACTGCGGAAGGACCTAGGAGCAGCACTCAGGCAGCAGGCCTCACCTCCTCCTCCACCATTGCTCGCTTCTGGGCGCTCCAGCTGTAGTCAGGGTAATGCGAGATGGTTGTGGCACTGCCAAAGTCACACAGCTTAATGGTCCCCTGGTTGCTAAGCAATAAGTTCTCAACCTGCAAAATTCCAGAAGACAGTACTTATAAACTTGGGGTGCAGACAGAGCCAAGACCTCAGCAGAAGCCAACGAGAGCATGAGGTAGAACCAGTGCCTCACCAGACAGTCCCCTGCACCAAGTCAAGGCTGCTGGCCACAGAGCCACCAGAGGACCCACAAGGCCTGCAGCACTGCAGTGTGGAGGTGCTGGAGGTGCTGCAGGCTGGTGACAGCCTGATGGGGCAGGAGGAGGGAGCAGAGGGGCTGCTCTCCCAGAGAAGCAATTCGAGGTCTTAGGTCCTTCCTGAGCAGAAGCAATGTGTACCTATTTTAATTAAACACACACTTTGAGAAATCGTCTTTTATTTTATTTTTTTTTAGTAATAGGGGTTGAACCCGTGGTGGGGGGCTTAACCACTGAGCCACATCTGGAGCTCTGTTTTATATTTTATTAGACAGGGTCTCACTCAGTTGCTAAGTGCCTCACTATGTTGCTGAGGCTGGCTTTGAACTTGTGATCCTTCTGTCACAGGAGGATCCTCCTGTGATCTGCTGGGATTATAGGAATGTACCACTGTGCCTGGCTTCTTCCTTCTTCTTCTTTTTTTTTTTTTTTTTTGGTACCAGGGATTGAACCCAAGGGCACTTAACCACTGAGCCACATCCCCAGCCCTTTTACATTTTATTTAGAGACAAGGTCTCACTAAATTGCTGTTATTGGCTTTGAACTTGGGATCCTCCTGTCACAGCCTCAATTCAGAAAATTTTAAAGTTGAAATTAACCATAAATCAAGCAGATCACCCAAATCAACAACATGAGACCGACAATGAGCCTTCAAGAAAGTGGAAGAAAAGAGAATAGAAGATACCTTTTACACTGAACACATCAAGAGCCTAGGAATACACCCAAGAAAACACGGGCAAAGACCTCAGTGCAGAAAGCATAAGATGAGGGGCACTTTCAGATCCTGAACCAACAACTAATCGTGCTCCCACATGAAGTGCAACTGTATAGATGTCGGACCTACCCCAAGGGCCACAGGGTGTGGGTGGCCGTCTGTGATCCCAAGTCCACTCTGGCTGCCGCCAGCTTTGGTGCAGCCAAACAGCCAGGAAGGCTTTTACGATTTAATTTACTTTACTTCTTTATGCAGTACTGGGGTTGGAACCCAGGGTCTTGCCCATGCTAAGAAAGTACCCTGCCTCTGAGCTACACTACCAGGCCAGCTTTTACATTTTTAATGACTGAAAAATGAAAAAAAGATTACATTCCACGATACATAAAATCACAGAAAATACTAACTCCAGTTCATGGTTTTACTGGCACCCAGCCACACCCACTCATGTTATAGGATTTCCTATGCATTGAAACCCAGAGGCCAGCAGAGCCAGGATCCTGATTCCTGAAGTCTGGTGGTTTGTTGAATGACTGTCAACCACTACATGAAGGTCAAAAATTCTGATGAAATTCTTAAAAGTTCTGGGCAGAATTTGAAAAAGGCATTCAACAGTCTGCATGGAAAGCTAAATGGCCAAAGAGGGTGCAACCTTTGAGACTGCATGGACAGCCAGATGGCCAGAGAGGGCCCAATCCTAGAGACCAGACTTAGGCCTTCAGGAGACTTTGGTACCAACACAGGGAACCTGGCCCAAGAGCACCACCAAGATGCCATGCTCATGACAAGGTGGCACCAGGGGACAAGCAAGAGGATAATGACTTGGTCCCAGTTCGGAAAAGTAAAACACTGACACTCCTAAGCTCAAGCAAAAGCACAAGTCCTTTAGAAGACAGTACACAAGGCCACCTTCCTGTGGGACAAAATGGCCTCCTCAGGAAAACAGAACAGACTCCTGTGCAGAGAGCCTAGGGGCTCTGGCTTACAGGAAGAACACTCAACACAGGACCTTCCCTGAGAGCAGGAGTGCAGCCAGATGAGGCCTACCCCACACAGCAGCACCAGCATCTGCACACGCCAGGGAGAGGACAACGAGACAGGGACCTCCCCAAAAGGAACCCACATCCAGTAGACATGTAGTCTCACTGACAGGAAGGATGGCAACCTCGACCCCCCACAGGCTGCAGAGTCGCAGCACCTGCGGTACCAGGGCAGGCAAGCAGGAAGCCAGGTGGGGTCCGCCAGGATCAGCCCATGCCCTCCAGCCACAGCTCCCTGCACCTCCTGCCCACAGAGAGTGCCCTTCCTGAGGAACAGTGGGCACAGAGCAGCAGCCCACCATGAACAAGGCAGCAGTGTGGAAGCATTCACACATGACAGATGCCCCAGGAGGCAGGGCCACATATGAGGCAGGCAGATCTCATGGGCAACACTGAGTGAAAGCGGCCATGCACAGGAGGACGTGTGCCACAAGAGTCCGTTCCTGATGTCCTAGGGCAGAAAGGCACACTGCCCTGGGTGGGTGCAGAACATGCATCAGTAGAGAAAATCAAGACACTGGGATCAGTGTGGAGAGAGGCCCGGAGGCCTTGCAGTGGCTAGCATTTCATGGCTAGCGGCACTTGGGGTAGAAGAGCCTGGGTGGAGCTGTGTGTCCTGCAGCAGAGACCACAGGACACTGTGGAGCAAAGGACACCTCTTACTTGGAGGACAAGTGATGTCAACCAGGCCAAGCTCACAAACTGACTCTTTCCCCAACTTCACTAACTCTGTGTTTTCTATTTTTCTTAATACACACAAAACTCGCTGCACTTAAAAGACATAAGCCAGAAAATTCATTGTGCCACAAAAAACCCACCCTCCACTGGTGTCCACTGAGGAGCGGACACTACCCTACTGCGACTGGTGGCCCAGCCAGGATGGGCAGACACCTGCCTGGGCGCAGGTGGGTGATGAGGTGGAGGGGATCGCTGCCCCACCTAGTGTCACTCAGCCAATTCCAGGTGAACAGACCAGACGCAGGAAAGGCCGACTGAGCACTCAGAGGGTCTGCTCAGGAGACCTTGGCTGCTTCTAGAGCCTGCGTGGTGGGCACTGCTTCAGGCTCACAGACCTCAGGAGATACAATACTTTGAGGAAAACTGGGGAACTTGGGAATAGGCTAGGCCCGAGCTGCAACTCCAGGTGACATTCGTTTGCTGGGCAACAACAGGGCTAAAATCGACTAAGAAACATCCCTGTTTCCACAAAGATGTGCGTCAAATGAGAGGGGTCAGGACAAGGACAAGCTTCAGACGTCAGATGATTCTCACAAATCTTGGTTTTTTAAGATAGGATAAGGGAGTGAAAACTAGGCCACCACCAGAAGACTCCTGTGGCACATACTCTTGAGAACACAGTGGAGTTCCGATGAACCCACCACACAAGAGAGACAAGCAGCAGCAAAGCTGGCAGGAAGGGGACTGAAGAATAGAGCCTGATGATCACAATGTGACCCTCAACTGCACCATGCGGCAGGCCTGCTCCCACAGGCACTGCCCCCCAGGGCTAGGCAGCAGGGACACCTGCTGGTACAGGGTGGGAGACGGCAGGGAGAGCAAGGAGTGCAGGCCCAGAGCCCAGTCGCTTGGGTGAGAACACCCAAGAGACCAGAGGGAGCCTCCACGAAGCCTCGCTGTACCCCACAAGGACACAGGCAGGAAGGGACCCAGCAAGCACTTTTGATGGCAGCTGGTACCTTGAGGTCTCTGTGGATGACAGGTGGCTTCTGTCTGTGCATGTGCTGCACTGCTCTGCACGTCTGGTAAAAGATCTTCAGAATGGTGTCACAGGACAGAGGGCCTTTAGATTCAACTCTCTTTAGAAATTCCACCAGCTGCCCTAAAAGAGATAAGTACATTTAATCACCCCGGGGCTGACGGATGCCATATGCTCAGGTCCAGCCTTGACTGCCAGGAACCTGTACAGTTTCTGACCCACGGTCAGGGTCCAGCCTGACTCCCAGCAGTTCTCAGGTGGCTGTAGGAAAGTCTGTGGATAGGAGCCATAACTGCAGCCCTAGGTCCGGGGTAGGGGCAGGGGAGGGGGAAGGGTAGTATCGCAGTGGGAACTGGCGTGGGGCATCCTGGGGCAGCATGAGAAGCACAATCATCACACTGCAGAGCTCTGAGTAAAGAAACACCCCTGCAACTGGGCAAAGGACCAAGGTACCAGGACCCAGGAAAAAGGGCTCACAGGCCCCCGTGACATGGAATTGAGCACGCCACTGGAGGTAGCCATCAAGAAACGAATTGCTCATGGGAGATTTCAAGGTCTCTGGTGAAGCAACCACTGCCTGCTTAGGTCAGACATGGTTATGGGGATGGGGTGGAATACCACACTCAGCAGGAAAACGAGAAATGGTTATATATCCATGACCAGGACACCTCCACAGCCACACTCCCAGCCTGACCCTACTAACTGTGCAGGCATGTGGGCTCCCACATCCTAGCCATGGCTCTGCAGCCCAGGGACCACAGGCACACCGTGGTGGGCACAGCCCAGCCGCTCATGGCCTGGCCAACCAACAGAACTAGGAATCTCAGGTTAAGTTGGCTAGTGCACCAAAGGCAGGGCCAAGGACCTCAGCCTCTGGAGCTGGGCCACTGCTAGTAACCCTGTGCACATGCACGGAGCCTCCACAGGCTACTCACACTCAACCTATCCTCATTGCCTCACTCCCATCTAGCTGCAGTCCAGCCAACTTTTAAAACTTGCACCCTAGCAACCTACCCCACTCAGTACCAGAACAAGGAAACAGCCATGCCTGACAAGCCCCAGGTGCACACCCTGCAGCCACATGGCCCCACTCTGTCCCACACAAGACTTCCACACCATGGGTCTTTGGCTAAAAGGCCCCAGGCTCCCCTCCTTGGCTCATAGCCCAGACATTCATATCCAGGGGCCTCATCCAGCCACCCCATCTAAGGGGACACTCCATCGCAGGCTTCGGTCCTCCTGCACTGGCAATGCCTACACTCAACTCTGACTAAAGAATCCAGCTACGTTCCCTGGACAGTACCTGGGGCTGCACACAGCAGTGCCCACAGGAGGGTTGGGGAGGCACAGCAGTCTACATTTATGGCTCTGGAGGACAAGGTCCACACCTCACTGTCCACAGCAGTGTCCCCAGGAGGCTGTCAGGAGGCGCAGCAGTCTGGACTTAAGGCTCTGGGGGACTACTTCCACACTCAGTGCCTTCACTATACTATTAAAAGGAGGAAACACCCACTTTTGCCATCCTGGCCTCACTTGAACTCAGGAGTTAGGCCTTCTTATAACTGGACTTTTCAGCAGAAGACCCAGGCTCATGCCCACAGCACAGCCTAGGTAAACTCCTTCCCCTACAATCTGTGTTGCCACTTGGGATTTTAGATGTGCCTGAGCAGCCTCTGTGGTCCCCAACCAGAGCACCTCAGGCCCCACCTGCCAGCCAGCCCACCCTGGCTCTAATCCCCACCTGAGCCAAACCCCTCCTTACCTCCAACCCACCTACTTGCCAGGATCTGCAGTACCTCAGAGGACCTGGGTACTCTTGGGGTAGGGGTGAGGGGCAGGGGCTCTCAGAGGAATGATGGCACCTTGAGAGGAATTGGGGCCTTTGGGAGGAATGGGGACCTTAGAGGAATGAGGGCCCTCAGAGGAAGGAAGGCCCTTGGTGGAATGAGGGCCCTTGGGAGGAGTAGAGGCTCTCAGAGAGTGCTTGTCCCCCACTCTGCCCTACACCTGGATGGCATGGCTGTGGTGTCCACAAGCACCCCAGGGGTCCCCAGGCAGCACCCCCTGAAGTGCACGATTTGTTGGCCCATCATGGGCATGAGGAACCTGGGTAACCACAGAAGGAAATAGCATTCCTTATGGAGCGGGGCTAGGTGGTGGCAGCCAAACCCTTTCCACAATACCCCGCACAGGAACAGCACCCAAGCCACTCCTGTCTCCTTCACACCACCCCAGTACAAGCGTCAGAGCACCTACACTGCTCCCCATACCACCTCCAACCAAAGAAAACCAGGACTACAGAAGCAGGACCTGTAGCACATGAGGCTTCCTGCCATCCCAGGAAGGGGTTGGTGCACCGTGGGCCTCATCCTCAGGGTCAGGGAAAGCAGAAAGGACAATGAGACCCAGGCCTGACCCAGATCCCTGGCCCTCTGACCTGGCTATCAGTCCCACCCAGGAGCGCAGAGGTAATAAGCCAGAGCTTGGAGCAGCAAGCCCATAAGCTGAGAATAGGAGATGGGTCTGCCGTAGGCACAGGAAAATGCTAGAAGCAAGCCGGGGCCAACTGGCATCACTGAACAACACTGCACATGATGTGCCATCAAGTTGCAGAGGTTTACTCAGGACCATAAATAGAACGAAGATGCTCCTGATCTCAGACAATATGTGCGTAAAAATTGCTTGGTCCTGTCCAGGCACGGTGGTACTCAGGAGGCTAAGGCAGGAGGACTGCAAGTTCAAAGCCAGCCTCAGCAACTTAGTGAGGCCCTAAGCAACTCAGGGAGACCTTGTCTTTAGATAAACAAAAAGGACTGGGGATGTGGCTCAGTGGTTAAGCACCCTTGAGTTCAATCCCTACTACCAAAAAAAAAGAAGAAGAATACCTGGTCCTGACGTTTACAGCTAATTCTTGTTCATGTAGTTGTGGATGGACAGCATGCCTGTACTGTGTCTGTTTATGCTTACGTGGTGCTAAGGGTCGAACCCAGTGCTTCACACATTCTAGGAAAGCACTCTGACACTGAACTAAGTCCCAGCCCCTGCAGTTGATTTTTAATGATTCAGCAAGAACCTGAGGGAGGTGAAGCAACTGTGAGAACATGTCACATACAGAAAAATCTAGAACATGTATACACTTGTTGCATGTTTCCTGGAGATTGAAAACTTCAGGATAAAAAGCTGAGAAAATAAAACACTGCTGAGGAGTTAATGTCTCCACTGTTACCTGATAGCATTCTCAGCCCCAATGGCTCCTGACCCCACAGTCATGTTTCCTGTCCCCAGCAGCAGGATAAGCAATGGGCAGATGAGCGGGGCAGTGTCAGGACAAGGCTGGAGGGGAAGCACTGCCAATGGAGGCCACCAGCCCAGGGCACCTGTGTGGTGCGCAGAAGCAGTGTGCAGCCCACTCACCTTCCTCCTGTGCCCTGGAAGGGCCACGACCCACCGAGACCCCAGGGTCCTCCCTGAAGCACAGGACCACTGCTCCCTGAGTGTGCAGCCCCAGCCACTCTCCCTCTGGCCATCTGCCAGGCCCCACCCTTCTCCTCCACCCCCAGCAGCCTACACCGAGGGCTGCGTGCACTCTGCCATCACAGCAGCTTTGCTCACGGTCTCCAAGGAGGGACTGGGTGGTGGGTGGCAGCTCTCACATGGCTGAGCTTCCCTTTCCACCACGGGCTCCCTGCCACTCTTGCTCTGTCCCCCCATTTACTGCCTGGGCCGTGGGCGCACAAGCTCTCACTCATGCCATGGCCACATCTCTCAGGGAAGCATTCCCTGGCCATGGGTAACACACCCCCCGAGACAGAGCTCAGAAAATGCCCGGCAAGTGACCCCCCTAGTGGAGGAGCCTCCTTGGAGTTTCCTTTCCCAGGCAAGCCTGGGCTCATAGAACCAGGGCCCTGCCTCAGGCACCACCCAGGCCACACACACAACCTCTGTCCCAGGGCTTTCCACCAGGCAACTCTTCCCTGTCCCACCTGCGGGCCCAGAAGCCTTCCCTCCACCTTCTTGGGCATGACCTTGCTGAGGTCACAACCCCCCCCCCCCAGACCAAGCACTACTCCTTCTTGCAAAGTGTGGACCAAGCAGCCCCAAAGGCACTGTCAGCACTCCTCGTCCCTGTCTACAGGGGCCCAAGGGTGCTGTGGGCCAGCCCATCTGGCTGCTGGAAAGACATAAGGAGATTGCTCCCTCAGAGCCTGAAGCCCAGGAGGGAAACACAAGCCCACTCCAAACAAGGCCGCTCAATGCCTGGGCACTGCTTCAGCTGTGTTGAAGAGACCTGAGGATGCCTCACAGCTGCGTGAACAAGTCACAAAGCAACAACTCAGATTCCAGGGACTTTACCTCTACAGAGCTCCGTGAGCAGGAGGAATTCGGCCTGCCCAGTGTCCGACTCCTCTTTTCCTATGGATGCTGCAGAGCAGAACTGGACGATGTTGGGGTGGCCAGAAAGTTTCTTCTGCAGGTGTCTTGTTAAAGGAGAATGTGCATAAATGTGTTCACAATTTTGTGCACTTAAAATAAACGTATATCCATGAAGACTCACCAGGCATGACTGCTGCCCTGCCTCAGTCTAGTGCGTTCAAGCAGAAAGGTGGGCAAGAGGCTGGCAAGGCTACAAGAGGGCAGAGTGTGGGAGGAAGCCAGTGGGAGGGCAGAAGTGCAGCAGGCCAAGAGGAAGCAGGCAAAGGCACTGGGGTCCGCAGGAGAGAGGCTGTGAGGAGAGACTGTGCCCATGCCCCCCACAGCGACAGAGCCTGGAAACTTGACCCACGGTGAAGGTGAGCCTCCCACTCAGGGAGGACACACAACTGAGGACAGTAGACAAGAAGGGCACTGGAAGCCTGCCATCACTACAGCATGAGGAGGGCTGAGCAAGGGGGCAATTAGGTGAAGCTGCATGGAAGTCTGCCTGTGCCAAAACTGTCCACGCAGCTCCTGGGGCCGGAGGGGCAGGAACAAAGCAGGGCTCTCCCTGTGGCAAGTGGCCCACCCGACTGGCATGGAGACCCCTCAGACAGGAACAACAACTCCCTTCCCGACACTGTGAATCTTTTATTATGACCCTGGGACAGAGAACAGGGAAGAAAATTGCTTTTCACTGGAAATGGTCAACACAAAGTCTGGTAAAAGCAAAAAGGTCGATTTTAACACATCAAACAGAACATCACAGAGCAGCCTCTGGGCAGCTGGTACTCACAGCCTGATGCAGGCTGTCCACCTAAGTGACATGTGGGCTCTCAGTCCCAGGAAAAGGATACCAAGAAGCAAACTTCCTGAATGATGGCTCTGTTCTTTTCCTCTTCGTTGGACAGTAACCTCTGCCAGGGAATAGCACACAAAAAAGGTGGAAGATTGTTTACCTTCCGTTTTACATAATGCCTCATCTCAGACAGACACCCAGGGAGGAAGAACACTGCAAGGAGCATGCCCTGTCCAACCTCCACACTTGCCCTGACAGAAACGGAGATCTGTCAAGTGCCTTGAGGAGCCCAGAAAACAAGAACACAAAAGAGGAGCTTCTCCCACATGCGTCAGAGTGGAATGAGATACACAAGGAGGAGGAGAGAAGGTTCTCAGAGAGGTAGGCAGCGCTGTGGGGTGACAAGACCAGGCCCCGGAGCCATCAGGGCAAGGCGGCCCTCCAGCATCCAGCAAGTGGGCCTGCTGCTGCCACGCAGGAAACACCAGAGCCACTCTCGCTGGCACACAGGTCTAGGCCCTCCTCCAGTGCCTGCTCTCTGCAGATGCACTGTGGACACACATTCTGTGTCAGTCTCTGAAACCCTTTCAGTTCCTAGACCACCATTTGGCATGTGACTCCATGGTGAGTTCACTCTCATGTCTCTTTCCAAGACCAACTGGCTCCCGGAGGACAGAAATGTTCTTGACCCAAGCTTGAGAGCTGAACTGAAGGTGAGCCCTGAGACATGAAGGAGACAGGACAAACAGACCGATTGAGCAGCAGGAAACACCCTGCAGCAAACAGTCCCAGAGGCCTCCTCACAGCAAAGCAGAGCCATGTGATACGTCTAGTCATCCCTTCTTACCTTCAATGCATACTCTCTGCCACTTCCCAGGTCTTGAGCTTCGTATACAAATGCAAATCCTCCTGAAAAATAAAAATATCTGTCAGTTTGGTGCTATGATTTAGGTTAAAACACTTTACTAAGTACAACACAAACCAGATTTATGGCTATGGACAGAAATTTACTTTCAAAAAAATATACAACCCAATTAATATGCCACTGCCTTTTTCATGTTCTGCTTCAGGGGCAGAAAGAGAAAGCGCAGGCAGGTCAGGGAAGGGAGAGTCGGAACAACTAGGGCACAGACAGCTGACGGACCAGGAAGAAAGACTGATGGAAAAAGGACAGCTGCTGACACCCAGTGAGAAGGGGACATTGCTGCCCCATGTCCAGTGGAAAGTGCAGATCAAACCACTCATGAGCCGGGAACTAGGGTGCATGCCTCTGATCCCAATGGTTCTCAAGGCAAGGAGATTGCAAGTTCGAGGCTAGCCTCAGCAACTTAGTGAGTCCTTGTCTCAAAATAAAAATAAAAAGGACTGTGGTGTGGCTCAGTAGTAGAGCACTCTGGGTTCCATCTCCAGTTTGGGGCGGGTGTGGGGTGGGGGTGGTGCAGAATCACTTAAAAATGGGCGAGAGTTCTTTATAAGTTCTTAATTCTAATATGATAGACATCAACCAATCAAAGCCAATAAACACAGGGATAATATGCCATGACTAGCAGAGGAGATCTAACATCTGAAAACTTATCAAATCCTACAGCTTTTAAGTGGGTGCTGCTTAACTTTGTTTCGCTTCCCACAAGTAAAAACTCACACAGTGAAATTTAAAACCACAAGCAAACTAGGAACAGAAAAAAACTTCCTCCACCTGACAAAGAGCGGCCACCAGGACAAGGGCAAGCACCAGGCAGGAGTGTGTTCCTGCCTGCTCAGCAGCACAGTGGGAGTGTCCTGCCAGGGTCTTGCACACACAGGACGTGACCTTCCACACAGACAATCGGGTGAGCTCTAAGAGAAAGCTACTGTAGCTAACAGGAACTCACAAGGGCTATGGGACCAGAGCAAGATCGGAGGCCTGCTGTGCACCACACCCCCATTGTTAGGCAGCAAGGATGGAGACACAGCACCAAAGCATGATCCACTCAAAACAGGTGGCCAAACACCACCAGACAGAGAACTTCTTCCACTTTTTGGCAGTGGGATTGAACCCAGAGGTGTACTACCACTGAGCCACATCCCAGCCCTTTCTTTATTATTTTGAGACAGGGCCTCGCTAAGTTGCTAAGGCTGGCCTGGGACTTGCGATCCTCCTGCCTCAGCTTCCAGAGTCACTGGGATTACAAGTATGGGCCACTGTGCCTGGCTCCTTTTTAAAAATATACTGGTTGAAGGATAAAAAAAATAAGCCTCTAATCAGGTTTTTTTTTTTTTGATGGTGGTGGTGCTGGGGAATGAACCCTTGTGCATGCAAGGCTCTCTATTCAAGTCTTGCAAATCATGTATCTGGTAGAGGACTTCTATTCAGAAAACACACACAAAAAAATCCAAAATTCATTAAAGAGAAATTTTCATGAGCAAAAGACATAAACAGGCACATCAGCAAAAATATGACAGGGGCAGGAAAACACAGGACAAGGAGTACCGTCACTATCCATCCGGGAGATGCAGATTTAAACCACAAGAGTCTTCTAAACACCTGTCAGACGTGTACAATTTTAAACACCACATTGAGTGTTGTTTAGGATGTGAAGCACCTGGAAAGCTACACATGCATGGGGAAATGCCAAATGCTTACAACTACTTTGGAGAACATTTTGGCAACATCTTAAATAATTAAACATACATCAACTAGATGGCCCTAATGATGGGCACAGTGCATAACTGTAAAACTATAATAAAACTGGAGAAAAAACATGGGAAGACCTTCATCATCAGGGCTTCAGGCACACTGGGGAGCGGGAACTATGTGCTATGACACAGCAAGTACCCATCTAGGACTCTGCTCCTAAAAACCTCACTAGCACACCCTGTGGCCAGAAGAGCTCTCCTCCATCAATCCTGCCTCCATGGGCCCTGAAAGCAGGAGCCCAGAGTCCTGCTGTGGCAACTCTGCAATTGTCAGGCAATACTAAATACTCCCTCTGCCTCACCCAGTTCAGAACATTCTATAGCAGTAAAGGGAGGGCCCTCCAAAAGTGGTGTCTGGGAGGCAGATGGGTAGGGAGCTAGGCCTGCAACCAAGAGGCCCTGGGAGCTTGGTGGGATGTGCCCTCCTGTGCCTCAGGCCAGAGCACAGCCCCAAGAGAACACAGGCTCTGGAGCAGGAAACACGGATCCTGAGACTGATGGGAACTGCATGTCACATCTAAACCAACACAAGAGCTAGTGACACTTAAATCCATGACAGCCATGTGGCATGGCTTCCATTTTCTACCTCAATCCACTTTACTAGCCACATGTGCATAGAGAGCCGGCCCCGCAGTGCGACCTTGCCTCCGAACCAGTGACCAGCTTCAGAAGCAGCAGCAGCACACAGAGTGTGAACACAAAGAGTGCACCTAGCACATGCTTGGACTGGGCACCTCTAGCATGGCTGATACTCCCAGTAATCGTCTTATTTTTAAAAATTGAAGAATAAGAATAAAATTGAAAAGATTAGAAAACTATCTGGCTCCATAGTTCTGTCCAACAACCCTTTCACACGCCAGGTCCAAATGTGTAAAAGCTATGAAAACTGAGTGACAGCAAAACATGATCTATCATAAACTCATATGGGACAAAACCTGACATGAATGGACAGAGCCACTTACAGACTTTAACCCACATTGAGAATATTTCTTCATTTAACTATAAAAATATCAAGGTATTTAACTACAGAATACTTTTCCCGCCCCTTTAGGAATATCTCATGAAATATAGGCCATACACCATATTATCTTTCCAAAAGACTTTTGAAGTTGCAAACTCAAGGATCTCCAATGGTGGACCTTCCTCATATTCATAGAGCCTGAATCCTAGCAGCCTATGGTGTCTGGTTACTGTTCAAGAAACTTATTTAAATACATCTACATAAAATACTAAAGATTTTTCCCTGTTTCAGTTCAGAAAGAAGCTTCAAACAACCCAGTGAATCCAAAAGGAAGAAATCTATGACTGATAGCTGCTCTGCTTATTTTTATCTCTCAGCTGCCCAGAGAGCAAAGGGAAACCAGCTCTCTACACAGCCACAGTGGCTACCCACACTTCCTGGTTCTTTATCCTGGGTGCTTTGTGACCTACATAAACTTCCTGCTTTGCATGAATCTCCTTCTCTTACCAACCAGGACCACTTCCATCTCAAATGCCCTCCTAGCCCAGGAAGGTACACCCTGATCCCCCAACCCTGCTGCTGTCTTCTGCCAATCCCTTCCTAGAGGTCTCCCCAGCTGCATGTACAGCTTCAATGCTGTAATGCCTGCTCCATATGGCCTTGTTCTTTAGCCATTTCAGCATGCGTCTCATTTCACATTCTACAGGGCCTAAACCAGGTCCTGTCCAGTATGAATTTCCTGAAAAATGAAGATAACTGCCTGACATTTTTACAGTAAATAAACTAAAGCTTTTGTTACTGTAACAGATATAAGGGAACATCACACTTCAGAACTTTAGTGGGGGCATTGCCCCCATCTCTAAAAGAAGCACCAGAAGTTTCTCCCTAAATCACACCCAAAAATCTGTTTACGGACATGCTGGGGAAAAGCATGTGATGGTGCTACAACCAGAAAATCCCCTCAGGCCTTCTAGAATGAAAACATCCAAATACTCGGCCAATTCTCAGCTCCCAATAGAGCACAAATGACCACAAAGGGCTCAGATGGTGGACCCTCCAACCCTGAGAGTTCAGACTTGGTCAGGGCCCACTCCTCCCGCCCCAAATCAATGCAACGGAACACGACTGTATTTAGCCCATGAATTTCAAAGCTGGTGAGAACTGATGCGCCCCTGGACACCACTGGATAAAAAGTAAAGAAGACCCAGAAGAGAGATTCCAATCCTGTGTGAGGAAGGGAGAGGACATTCAGAAAGCTACAAATAAAACCAACAACAGATGACTTCAAGACATAAACGATGGCCATATCCATTCAGCAAAGTCCTACATAGTCCATGGATAATAGTTCTGCTTCCTGTGACTTACACAGGCACCACACAAGACGTTCAAGGGTGAGACACACTGACTTCAAGAGAGAAACAGACTAGGGCAACAGGCACCGTCTGCCCTCCCCAAATAGGACAGGACTGCCACTGCTTAAATGCTGTGTGCAACCAGAGGAACTTCTGGGAACTCAGGAAACCCAGTCCCCAATACATAGCAGTCCTGGTGTGATGCAAACAGCTATGGCTTATGCCCCCCAGCAGTGCTGCTCACCTCCTGACTCTAGTGTGTAGGGTCCTCCTCTCCCTCCCCAAAAACTGTTAGAGCTTCAGTCCCAAATATAGGAGGTTCCTCCACATCTATTATCCTCCAGCCTGATCCTAGCCTGAATCTACCCCTCCAACAAATTAGTTGGGACCCAGACCCCCCAGCTGTGACCCTCCAGGCCTGCCCTTACCCACACGCTCAGTGATAACCCTCCAGGCCTGACCTGACCCACGTCCTCAGTAGTGGCCCTCCAGCCTTGCCCTGACCCACGCCCCCAGGGGTGACCACCCCAGACCTGGCCTGACCCACGCCCCCAGCAGTGACTCTCCAGGCCTGGCCTGACCCACGCCCTCAGTGGTGACCCTCCAGCCCTGACCAGACTCACACCCTCAGTGGTGATCCTCTCGGACTATCCTAACCCACGTACCCAATGGTGACCCTCCCGCTGACCCTGTCCCCGGCAGCGTGACTTTCCCCGCGCCCAGCTCGGGCCTCACCCTCGGCCAGGACCCGCCGCACCCGCAGGCGCAGCTCGCCCAGCTCCACCGTCTGCCCCACGAAGTCGCTCTGGTCGCGGCCGGCAGCTCCGCCCAGGGAGCCCGGGCCCGCCAGGAAGTCGAGCGCGGACTGCAGCAGCGACATGGCGGCAGCCGCTCAATGGCAGCGGGAGCCGGGCTGGGGCTCAGGCTGCGCTCCGCCTGGTCAGCGGCCGCCGGAGCACAGCCCCGCCATCTTCCGCCCGCGCCGTGACGTCAGCGCGCAAGCACGTCGCGCCGTGGAGCCACGCCCCCGACCCTTCGCCGAGGGCCGGAAGGACGCGTGCTTCACTTCCGTCGCGCCGGCGGGCGCACAAGCTCCAGGCGTGGGCCGGCGACAGACTTCCGGCGGGGCTCGCGGGCAGCTCACACCTGAGAGAAGGAGGGCCAAGGCGGCCCCGCCCAGGTCATCACCTGCCGCGCGCCCCACAGGCCAGGCAGCCGGTCCCTCTGCGAGGCCTTGTCTCAGTGGCGGGGCGGAACGGCGCGGACGTTGGGCGCGAGTTTGGCGGCCGCTCCGCCGGACTGCGCCTCCCAGGGAAGGCCGTGCCAGCCCAAGGTCCTGGTGCCGCCCTCGAGAGGACGGAGCCGGCGGCCGCACACACGCGTTCCTTTCCTTGGGCCGCACGGTTTTGGGGGAAGCATGAGTTAGTGGCTGCCGTTGAGAGGCTGAACTCAAGGACGCGGTTTCCCAGCTTGCGTGGGAAAGCCTGACCTGGCGGCGTCGGGCCGCAGTCCCGCGTTTTCACAGCCCCCTGGAGCTGCCGCCTTCAGGTACGACGCGGCACTGTCTCAAAATAAAAAGGGCTGGGAATGTAGCTCAGTAGTGGTACAACCCTGGGTTCAATCCCAGGACTGACAAATAAATAAATCAGGTAATCAGGAAACCAAAATCTACTGCAACTCTCTCCTAAGTATTTATTTATTTATTTTTAATTTTCTTTTTGTAGTTGTAGATGGACAGAATGCCTTTATTTTATTTGTGTATTTTTATGTGGTGCTGAGGATCATACCCAGTGCCTTATACATGCTAGGCAAGTACTCTACCACTGAGCTACAGCCCCAGCCCTTTCGTAAGTATTTATAAAGCCACGCTTCTTGGCATTGCAGTAGATGCCATGCTAACACTGTCTTGACCCAAATCTGCCTCCACATTTTTCTGAATTTGACAGTGGGTGTTCATTTGTAGCTATCTCACTTCACATACATGTCTAAAACTAAGTCCATGGTCTTAATCCCCCCAATTATAGCAAAAGATATCACCACAAGTAAGAGAATTATTTTGTGATGATCAAGGGGTGAATTCACTAAAAAGATGTAACAATCCTAAACATATATGTGCCTAATAGCAAAGCTCTAAAATATCTGAATCAAAAACTCAGAACTACAAGAAGAGAGGCCAATCACAATTGTGGTGGGAGGTTGATGTAGTTGGAGAGTATTTTTTTGTTCAATAAATAACAAGAGGGGCTGGGGCTGTAGCTCAGTGGTAGCGTGCTCGCCTAGCATGAACGAGGCACTGGGTTCGAGCCTCACCACCACAGAAATGTAAAATAAGGATACTGTGTTCATCTAAATCTTAAGAATAAACATTTAAAAAAGTAAATTAAATGACAGGAACCCAGAAAATCACTAATGATATTGTAGACTTGAACTACCAAGCAGCTTGAGCTAATAAACATTTATAAAATGATCCCTACAATAATATAAATTGGTGTCTGACTATTTTTTAAAAATACACTGTTGAAATTAAAAGACAGCTCAGACTTGGAGAAAATATTTGCAAATTGCCTATGTGGTAATAGACTTGTATATGAAGTACACGTAGAGGAAAGTGAGTTCTACATGTCTTCAGGGTAGTCTACTTGTCTTCTGTCCAGTCTTGGGATTGGATATACAAGGCTCTGGTGTAGTCCTGGTTTCTTCAGGTACACCTCCCAGTTTGAACCTCATGAGGCGGCCTTCTCAAACTCCTTGCAATTTGCTGCATGCCAGGCTCTCCCTGTTACACAGAGATAGTTCTTTCTGGCTTTTCATTAATTCTCACAGTGATATTTAAGGATTAAAAGAGACATCAAGTATGAACTACTTGGGACAATGCTTGATGTTTAAGATATGCTTAATAAAGGCCTCTTACTGTTCTTGTGTCCCTTGTCAGAAGTGTCTCCACACTCAGCTCCAGCATCTTCCATACTGAGGACTCCTGACAGTCTCTGCAAGAAACCTCTTGCTTTCCCACTGTGGCATCTGTATCTCTAGTCCTGTCTTTTCTTCATTGGCATGTGTCATAAAAACTTGCGTGCAAATGTGTAGATGACATGGTTTGAGCACTTAAAGACTAGGCATTGGGTTGTGTTCTTTTTAACTGGTGCAGTTCATAAAACTGTTTTAACCACTTGTGAGCACACGGTCCAGAGACATGAACCCCTTCACTCTTCGGTGCAGCTTCTCCACCCATCGCCAGGCTCTTCCTCTTGCAAAGCTGAAACTCCCCATTATGTACCAATTCACCCATTCCACTGAGCCCCTGGTGCCCACTGCTCTACTTCCTGTTCCTATGGGTTTAAGTGCTCTGGGGTGTCCCGTGCAAGTGGAGCCATACAGTATTTGTCTTGTGCAACTGGCTCGTTCCACATTGGAGTGTCCTCCCAGTCCTTCCATGTGATAGCATGTGTCAGGACTTTGTGATGCTCCATTCAGAAACCAAGATGGAGGCTCCAGTGCCTTCCGCCTCTGGGCTATTGTGAACAGCCCTGGGATGAGCTTGGGTGCATGGGCATCTCTGTAAGTCCCTGCTTTTGACTCTTGGATGTGTATCAAAGGAGGAGTTGCTGGACCTGGTGGTGGGCTGTTCTTGGTTTTGTGAGCCAGGCAGCTGCACCACTTTGTGCTCTACCAGCAGGGTGCAAGTTCCAGTTTTCTCTGTCTTTGCCAACACTTCCTTGTTTTGTTTCATTGCCAGCCTGGAGGGTTGCTGTCTCATAGGGGTCTAATTGTAACAGTTCTTTAAATATTTTAGATATTATACCTTGCTCAGATAGTGGTTTGCAAATGTTTTCTCCCATTCTGGGTATTGTTTTTAATAATTTTGTCCTGTGGTGCACAAAGGTTTAAAATTGAACAATTGTGGCAACCTCTTCAAAAGTGAGCTTGGATAGGCTTGGTGGCAAGCACCTATAATCCCTGTGGCTTGGGAGGCTGAGGCAGGAGGACCACAAGTTTAAAGTCAGCTTCAGCAACTTAGTGAGACCCTGCCTCTAAGTAAAACAAAAAGAGAGGGCTGGAGATGGGGCTCAGTGGTTAAGCACCCCTAAGTTCAATCTCTGATACAAAAAAAAAAAAATGAGATTGGTTTGACCATAATATTTACTTCTGAACCCCTTGCCATTGGGCTACATCTTTAGGCCAGAACTGGGAGCAACTCCACTGTGTGGAGTCCATAGTGCTCGGTCACTGAGCACATGAACAGTCGGTCCACACAGAGTAAGTAGTTATGACACAACAGGAAAAGAGCTCAGTGCGTCCCCCAGCCATGTGCCACGGCATTTGGGAAAGGCAAAGCTGCAGTGACAGAGCTGCCAGCTTGCCATGTGGGAGAGTTCGACGAGGACTGGGAGCGGGGACCAGGGTTCCAATTGGGACTGGTCACTTACCCACGTCCATTTCTCAGAAGCTCAGAACTGTACCCCAGAAGAGTGGCTTGGACCATACGTTGGATAGGAGTGAAGGGGAGGTGGGCCAGAGCTGCCTCCCGCTCTCCTTCTGTCCTGGCACCGCAGTCCGTGTGTTCCTGACGGTTCTGCCTTACATGTTGACACCCTCGTCAGAAGGTCACTGCGTAATGCTGTCTGCATCTTTTTTTTTTTTTAATTGTAGTTGAACAAAATACCTTTATTTTTATTTATTTATTTTTATGTGATGTCAAGGATCGAACCCAGTGCCTCACAAGTGCTAGGTGAGCGCTCTGCTGCTGAGCTACAACCCCAGCCCCTGCTGTCTGCACTTGCAGCTGATGTTTTTAGTTCTGTCTCTCTAGATCTGCCTACTTGCTCATACTTTGTTTAATGGCTTAATAATTAGTTGTGTTTACTTTTTTTCCCTCAGTGCTGGGGATGGAACCCTGGGCCTCACGTGCTAGACAAGTGCCCCAACATGAGTGACACCCTGGCCTGTGTTTCACATATCTTGTTAACAGAGGCTTGCTTGGTGTGGACCTCAGGCCTGTCTGGAAACTGAGCTCCCCTGCAGGCATGCTGCTTCAGCTGAGGGCTGTGGCTCTGCTAATGTCCCCAGGATGCCAGATGTCTCCTACAACCTCACTAGCTCTTCTGATTGACAACTTACCACTTTCTGGCTGCCAGGCAGGCCCTCTAGCACTGAGCTCCACCCAGCCCTGACTACATGTTTATTCAGTTTGGTTTCCTCACTGGAAACTGCCAGTCAGCCTCCTTTGTCCATCTTGGGGTGGGCTTCTGATTGTGTCTGGTGTCAGTTGCCTTGTTTGAGCAGCATGTGGTGGTGCCCCTTACCTCTTGTCTTTGGCAGTCTATCTACTGATGCTCTGGCCAGGGTGAGCAGCATCCTCTGCTGGGCTTTGGGAGGTACTGGGAGTTGAAGGTAGGGGCATTCTACCACTGAGCTATAACCTCAGCCCTTTCTATTTTTTAATTTTACTTATTTTTTTTTCTGTGCCTTAGAAAATGGGCCCTGAAGCAAATCCTTCATCCTTCCTCAACATTGATCTTCTCCACCCTCTGGATCTGGGTAGTTCCTGGGTGGGGTTGGCTCTTTCTCCAGGACCTTGGGCATCAGCCTCCCTCTCTGAGGAACATTTTGAGGGCATATTTTGGCCCCTGGCTGTTGCCAGACCTATTCCTCTCCCTGAATCCCAGCTTCAGCCTCCTTGCCACATTCCCATCCCCTGTCACCCAGCTGTGGTGGGGGCCCTGGGTCCAGTGTGGAGTCCACAGGGCTCAGCACTGTGCTGCCCAGATGCCCACCAGCTCTGCTCCAGGATATGAGCACACTCTGTCTGGAGTCACCCTTGTCTTCCAGAGCCTACTCCTGACGTTGACAGTGTCCTGGGAGCTCTGAACCAAGGCTTGTGCCATGGGGGCTTTTGTTGGGTGTGCACATTGGTCCTGATGCTGTGACCTCGGGCCCCAAGGGCACCCACTCCTTTTTCTTGTTTAGGACCAAAACAGCTCATAGGATAGAGTCTGCTGCTGGTTTCAGGCATCCTGGGCCCTTCCCTGGTTGTGTGGGCCTTCCCTTCCTGCCTGCTCCTCTAGGGGAAGCAGGCACAGCATGTCCCTCACCCCAGTCACCAAGCTTAAGCTTAGTGAGGGAATCTCAGGCTGATGCTTAGCCTGGAGGGTCTTCCCCATTCTCCACACCCAGCCTCTATGCCCCCTGGCTAAAGCCTGTAAGGCAGCCCTTGGGAGCAACCCACTGGCATGCTCAGAGCTGTGCTTCCTTCTAGGCTTTTGTGGCCACTGGGCAGTGGCCCCATCATGTCTGGGCCCCAGACTCCTGAACAAACACTGGATGCCCAGGGTGACTCATCCCTATGCAGGAAAGATGAGGACATCAGGGAAGGGACCCAGAGCTCCCACCGCATGCTGGGTTTCAGTGACGCACTACTGTCCATCATTGCCACAGTCATGGTAAGTGTGGGGCCCACTTCAGGCAGGTGGAGGCACCCATCCCTGGCCCTGCTGCCAGCCCAAGAAACATCTGGTTTCTTTTTGTCTTTGTTCTTCAGATCCTTCCTGTGACCCACACGGAGATCTCCCCAGAGCAGGTACCAGGAGCATGCTGTGTAGTGCAGGGGGACAGCCCCACCTGGTCTGGGGGTGTTGAGCAACAGGGTGGGCACCTGCTTCCTCCTGGTAGGGTCACTGTCTGCATAAGTTGGGACGGTTGGGGTTGGGCCCAGGCTTCTGCAGTGAAGACCTGTCTCAGCCTGAGTGGAGAAGGAAGTATCCTCTAGTGGGAGGGAGCTCCCCAGATCCAGAGATCAGGCTGCCTCAGCAGAGGCACATCCACCTGGCATGTGCACCAGGCCCATCTGGGGGTGAGTGGGGAAAGGGTGTAAAAGCTTTTCCGTTTAGAGCCAGCTTTACTGGACTATTCCTGACTAAAGAGAGCAACATGTGACTGATCACAGCAGAACAGTTTGGAAGACATTTGGAAGGCCTGTGGGAGCATGCATGCACCTTGTCTCCTATCTGCCCATGTGATAGGGTGTCACAATGCCAGACTTGTTTGGGGTGCTGTGAGGCGCAGAGGAATGTGCTGGCCCAAGGGATGTGCTGGCCCAGCAAGGCTGACGTCCAGCCGCCTACAGGCTGAACTGGATGACCTGGGAAGCCCCACAGCTACTTGGATTTGGTTTTTGCACTGTGAAGAAATGATGAAGCACTTTCCATAGGGTTGTAGTAGAAATGTGCATCCAGCCTGACACCGCTCTCTGGAGGAGATCCAAGCATTGATTGCACCAGGTGCCTGGCAGTCCCCAGTGGAAAGTGCCCACCAGCAGCTGTTCAGAAAAGCTGTGCCCCACAGGATCGGTGGTAGTTCTGGGGCCTACTATGGGAAGCCCATGGTTTGGCTCCAGCCAGTATGTGCTGAGGTGTTTCCTTCACGAGAGGCCCAGATCAGCATCCTGTGAGACCACAGGAGCAGCTTTCCAAGCAGCGAGAAAACTCAGCTGTTCAGGCCCACCCTGACCCCACTGCCGCCGGGCCACTTGTGTTCTCTGCATGGAAACTGGGACTTCTTGGTGCCGAATCTTTCTGTTTCCTCGCTGGGTCTCAGAAAGCTCCTAAGAGACCACGGGTGCAGGCAGAAACACTCTGGGAAGGAGAGAAAGGTGCTGGACCAGCAATCCTCCCTGACACGGGGCTTCCTGGACTGCTCATGTGTTAACATGAAGACAGTCAACTTTGAACACTGCGATTCAGAAGCACCGTGCCCTCAGGGAAGGGTACCTTCAGAGATGATACCCAGAGCCCAGGAGACAGTGGGCAACCTGCGCCTGCCAGGGTCTTGAGCCTACACTGACAGCCTTTGAGAGGTCATCTGTGACCTTGTGAAAGGGCTGCAGGGCTCATTGGGCCCTTTGCCCTCTACCTTTCCGCCATGAGATGGGGAGTCCACTGTCCAAGGCGCTCCTGCAACTCTGAACCATGAAGCCTGTATTGTGGGCTTTCTGGACCCCAGCATGACAGCTGGAGGCTTGCCCTGAGGGGAGTAGAGGGGGTGTGGCCCCCAGCAGGCAGAGCCTGGGTGTTCCAAGGGATTTCACCGCACTCCAGTAAGGCCATGCCCATGCGTCGAAGGCGACCTAGGTTACCTATGACTGTCCCTAATGGCAGTGCTCTTTTGTTCTAGCAATTTGACAAAAGTATACAGAGACTTCTAGCAACCAGGATTGCTGTCTACCTGATGACATTTCTAATTGTGACTGTGGCCTGGGCCGCACATACCAGGTAGGGACCGGGCTTCTTTGAGATCAGGTCACCTTTTGACTCACTTAGGCAGGGAGCCACACCATTCTCAAGGTATATGTGGGCCCCTCACTCATCATGGGTGAGAGTGCCGGGGTGGGTAGGTCACCCCTTTCTCCATCATCCCCAATTCTTTCTCTGAACCTCCTGCCTGGGTTCCCACACACAGGCTCCAAGGCAAGTCTATTTCCGCAAACATATAGCACTGCCTGCTGGCCATCCAGACACTGGGTGAGGGTGCCCAATGTGTACTGCTAGACCCCAGAACCAGGATGGAGCCTGGCAGGAGGGGGCAAGCTGCCAACACCTCCAGCCCCTGTTCCAAGCCCACAGGTAGTTCTCCAAGGCCTGAGCTTTATCTTGGGGAGGAAAAGGTCCTGATCCAGAGGTTACTGCCCAACCTACAGGGCCCCCAACCACTGGCAGGGGAGCAGGGACAGGAGGCATCCAGAGGTGGAGCTGGGAGTGGATGCTTCCATCCTAGGTTGCATACCAGCCTATGGAAGGGAAGCACTTGTCCAGGAAGGCTGGGGTGCAGGAAAATGCGCCCATTCCATCAGGTGTTGGCACTGGGCCAGATACCTCTGGCACTGTGTGTTGTATACTGCCCTCAGCAGACAACCACTTTGGGAGATGAAGCATGGACCTCGGAGTCCAAGCTCCAGGGGTGGGAGGGCTCTTCTCAGCCTCCCTGGTGTACCGAGTACTCAGGAGGCTCTCAGGGGATGTTGCAAAGTAGGTGGGCTGTGAGCTCTGCCAGGGGCTATACCCACTATGGTGGACATTGCCTGAGTGGGGTTCAGGGGCCCCATGAGGGGCTTCCAGATCTGCTGTGTGCATCTGCCTGAGCATGGTCTTCTGCACACCTGGTTGCAATGCTCAGCAGGTCACCAGAAGAGCTTCCCAGCTCAAGGGGGCCATAGTCCTTGTTATTTAGCTTTTCAGCAAATGCTGCAGCACCAGGTTGGCCCTGTGTCCCTGTCCCTAGGCTTGCTGCCCAGCCCAGGAGAAGGCATGGTTCACAGTGGACAGGGGACATGGTACTTGGGTACCCTAAGCTGGCGTCAAGCTCTGACAGGGAAACCTGGGGCATGGACCAGGTGGGCTGGGGCCTCTTAGAAACAAGACCCTTGGCCAATTGTGCTCACTCATGTTGCCCATGATGAAAGCTGTCTTTTTTGTTTGTTTGTTTTGGTACTGGGGATTGAACTCAAGGAGACCTACCCACTGAGCCACACCCCCAGCCCTATTTTGATTTTTATTTACAGACAAAGTCTCACTGAGTTGCTTAGCCCCACACTTTTGCTGAGGCTGGCTTTGAACTCGTGATCCTCTTGCCTCAACCTCCCAAGCCACCACACCCCGCTAAAAGCTGTCAATTTTTAATTTTTTTGTTTGTGTCAAATAGTCTCAGGACAAAGCAATTTCTCTATTAAATAGGCAGCTCCACAGGTTTAGGGTTTGAAACCCCTGAAAACAATGGGAAAGAAGGACTTCCTCTCTTCAAAATGGATTTTGTGCACAAGGCCTGAAGAGTGAATTCACCGCATGATGGAACTTTATGTACACATATCCAGAGCTGGGTTTTCAGCCTTCTGGCAGAAGCTGCACAACATTTCAAGAGAGCTTCAGCTGAAGCAAGCCACATGTGCCTCTTGCACCTCGAACAGGCAGGTCACATTCAGAGGCTCTCCTCCCAGCAAGGCCTTCCCTGGAACTCAACCCAAGAGCCCCCTCTAGCCCTCCAGATCCCAGGGTCCACAGGATGAGCCTGCTCCAAAGACACACTTTGAAGACTCCTCCAGAGCCACCCATTGTACACATTTGTCTGTAGTTTGGCTCTTACTCTTCAAAGCAATATGCTTTAAATAGCAAAGCAACAGGAAGAATATGTGGGAATGAAGAGGGTGATTTCCAGGGAATTTATGATTTTGAATTTTCTGAATTTCATACACTGGGTAGGATTTTACATTTAATCCTAAATGACATCTTTTAGCTGGGTGTGGTGGCACATGCCTATAATCCCAGCAACTCAGGAGCCTGAGGCAGGAGGATCGTGAGTTCAAGGCCAACCTGGGAAATTTGGTGAGACCCTGTCTTAAAAAATAAGGCTGAGGATGTAGTTTAGTGGTTAAACATCTCTGGGTTCAACCCCTGGTTACCTCCCTACCCCCAAAATCATCTTTTAATGATATTTAAACTAGAAAATACTGGAGCAAATGTGTGTGTGTTTAATTTTATTGGAACCACATTTGATGAGTGGCCCATCTTCTCCTGTTCTTTGTAGATTATTTCAGGTTGTTGGGAAAATAGACGATACACTTGCCTTGCTCAACCTGGTGAGTTTTTTGTTTTTTTTGGTTTTTTGTTGTTGTTGTTGGTGGTGGTGGTGGTGGGTGTTTTTTTATCCTTTTGGGAAATAATTTTGGTTTTTAATTTAACCCTCCCAAGAGGACTGAGAGTGTTTAGCTGGCTGCTTCTCTCTTATCCTCTGGCACCTCGGTACCTGAACTCTGTCCACACCTTGAAGCTCCTTGGACAACCCTTGCACCGCAGGGGGCTGCCACCCTTCCCCAGCCCACATAGAGCTGGGGGTGCTAGGCCTGCCTGTGGAGAGGACTGAGATGAGCCAGGAAGGTACAGGCTTCTCGGGTCTGACACTTGCTGGCCCACCATCCTGTCTTGGGAGGGGCCTAACCTGGCCCCTTCTGGAGTGGTGAGGGGGCAGCTTGCACCATCCAGGCTGCATCCATGTGACCTCCCTCCCTCCTCTCCAGGCCTGCATGATGACCATCACCCTTCTGCCATACACAGTAAGTAACAGCCTGCTCCCCAGACATGCCCAAAACATGCTGAGCTCCACCTGGGTTTGACTGTCCTTGGAAATGCAGACCAGCAGATGATTCTGGCCTTGGGGCTATACAGAGGAGAGAACTTCCAGGGGGAGTCTGGCTGGGGGCCTGGGGCTCTGAAGGCAGAGACCACTGAAGGCAGGGCCCCCACTCTGTCGTGGCCTTCCTCCACTCAGAGTCTCCACAGACCCAAAAAGCTCTCATACTCAGTGCTGACCTGGCCTGCTGGTCTGTATGTGCTGGGCCAGAGAATTGGGATCTGGGGGACTTCAAAGGCCTATAGCAGTGGATGGAATTGCTCCCGTGGGGGCTGCGGACAGATCTGCCACACCCTATATGTCCCCTCCCATGATAGTCCTTCTCAGCACAGAGCAGGGAGACCAGGAGGCTCATTGTGTCCCAACTCCTAGACCAATGAACTTCTGCATTACTCCTTGTTTTGGACAGTTTTCCTTAATGGTGACGTTCCCTGATGTGCCACTGGGCATCTTCCTGTTTTGTGTGTGTGTGATCGCCATTGGAGTTGTGCAGGTAAGGCATCAGGAGCCTGCAGAGATGTATGTGAAAGAGACAAAGAGATGGTCATGGGGGCAAGCAGGTGAGGCACCAGTATCCTGACCCCATGTCCCCAGGAGCCCAGGTCCTGCTGTGGATACTTGGGGTGTGCATGCCTGAGCCCCTTGTCCTTGCTGAGTCTAAGAAGGGCCTCACAGTTGCAACAGGTGCAGGGCCAGGACTCCCATCCCTGGTGTTTCCCTAGAGCACCCCAGTGCCAGCCTGCCTTAGGTGCCCTCCCCCGAGACCCTGCAAGAAGCCAGCTTGCCTGGCCATGCCCCTCTGTTCATAGAGGGTGCCCTGTGGCCTGCCTCTCCCACAGGCACTGATTGTGGGGTATGCTTTCCACTTCCCACACCTGCTGAGCCCGCAGATCCGGTGCTCCGCCCACAGGGCCCTGTCCCGAAGGCACATCCTGCACCTTGTCCTCCGTGGTCCAGTGCTGTGCTTTCTTGCGGCCATCTTCTCCCTCTTCTTCTTTCCTGTGGTGAGTGTTGGGGCACCCCAGGGAGGGCACAGCCGGGGCACTGAGATGCTTTTTTTCAGCCAGCAGCTAATTCTAACAGGAGTAAGAGTGGTGGTCTGGCAGAGTGCTGTTCACACAGGACCAAGAGCTGCAGAACAAGCTGCTCCAGAGTTGGCCTAGGAAGCTCACTGTGACTCCAGGTCTGCTTGAGCGTTGTTGAAGTACATGGAGTTTTTAATCCAAATTATCCTAAGAATTATGAACAAAATAACTGACATTTTCATAAACATTTAATAAGCATTCAAGAGGATTCCAAGTTTAAAACAGGCTACGGTGAACTTGGTGGTGCATGCCTATAATAGAGACTCAGGAGGCTGAGGAAGAAGACTTACAAATTCCGGCCTGCCGCAGCAACTTACAAGATCCTGTCTCAAAAAATAAAAAGGCCTAAGGATGTGACTTAGTGGTAGAGCCCCTTTCATTCAATCCTGGGTTAAAAAGTAAATAGGTTGGTAAGGGCCTGAGGCAGCAGCCAAGCAGGGTCTGGTTAGACCTGGCCAAGGCAGAGCGGAATCGTCTGGAGAGCACCAGGCAGGTAGGCCTTGGTGGGGCCTCAGGTGAGGAGGCAAAAAAGAAAAGTGAGCATTACTGTGTGAGGCCCTGGGCCTGTGGCCGGCCATAAGACTTGGTCCCTTTGGAGCTGTCTTTCAGGGCTCATGAAACAGGAGGGAGGAGGGGCAATGGTCTTGAGTGGGGAAGCCAGCGGTAGGCAGCAAGACGGGAGTGAGGGGCAGCAGTTGGAGGCGAGTCTTAGCGTCAGAGGTGGGACCATCCCCTTCTAGGGGTACACCCAGGGTGGTCCATGTGGCATGAATGTCTCATGAAGGCAGGGCATAGGCATTGGCGGAACAGTAGACTACGTGGGGTTTCTGGGTCTCTCCTTGCTGCATTCTGATCAGAATTCCTTCTTGTTATCCAAAACTAGTATACTGGGGGGCTGTGCCACGCTGTGCCTGAGGTTGCTCACTATGGCCCCTTGGGCTGTCCCACTCTTGGCTGTCGTGGGTGGTGCTGCCTTTAGCACAGCCTCTTCCAGCCTCTGCTCTCAGTTCTGTGCACATGCCCAGAAGTGGCCCAGGGGGAGAAGGGGACTGCTGTACTGCGCAGTCCCCTTCTCCCCCTGGAGCTGCTGGACATGTTCCCTAAGAACAGTGGCCTTGAGGCTCTCTGGCTTGCTGGTGTGTGCATGTTGCTTCTGCCCCTCTCACAGCTGGGCGCTTGTCTTCTGTTGAGTTGTAGCAGTTCTTTGTGTGTTCTGGACACAACTCTTGGCAGGTGTATGGCTGCTGGGCGCTTTCTACTTTCCATGGCTATCCTTTACTTCATCTCCATAAAGGACAGTTCCTTGGATTTTTCCTTGTTACACATGATTTTTCACGGATGGTAGAACTCCTGGGTGGCTGGGCTCCAGGAGGTATATGGCCTGCCCTGGGGAGGCAGGCCCTGACTGTCATGTCCCCACAGTCATACCTGCTGATGGTGACCGTCATCTTCCTGCCCTACATCAGCAAGGCCACCAGTTGGTGCAAAGACAGGCTTGTGGGTAGGTGTCAGTGGCAGTCCTGCATTGAGGCAAAGGGAGGCACCACAGGGGTCGGGCTGTTCATGAAGACTGCCATGTTGGGGCAAGGCACACACATGTGGTGACCCTCCCACCCCTCAGCAGCTCCACACCAGCTCCTCTCCTGGGCTATACATTCCCAGTCCCTAAAGGAAGCAGGCAGGGATAACCACACTGGCCCCACAGCCCATGGGCTGAGCCAGCTCCTCCCTCCTATGCCTGCAGGTCACAGGGACCCCCCCACCCACAGTGCAGAGGTCTTCAGCTTCGACCTGCATGAGCCCCTCAGTAAGGAACGGGTGGAAGCCTTCAGTGATGGTGTCTACGCCATTGTGGCCACGCTCCTCATCCTGGACATCTGGTGAGGACCCAAGCGGGGGCAGCCCTGTCTCATCTTCAGGTCCCTGGCATCTTGTCCTGGCCACACCAGAAAGGCTCAGCTTCACCCTCCTGTGGGTGCAGAGCTCCCTGGGAGGGTTTCCCCAAGAATAAGAACGCCCCTCAGGCCTTGGCCCCACCTAGGTCCCTTCAGGCATGTCTGTGGATATGGGCAGCTTAGACTGCCATGGGAATCTGTTGGAGCTCTGATCTGAGCAATCACTTTTATTTCCAAGTGTTAGTTTGCTTTTTCAAGTCTTCCAGGCTTCCTAAATCTCTTGACTCCTTAGTCACATCTCAGTGCACACTTTTATTGCATTAAACATTTAAAAACTTTTTGTTTGTTTTGGGGGTTTTTGTTTGCTTGTTTTTGCAGTACTGGGGGGTTAATCAAGGTACGCTACCACTGTGCTACATCTGCAGCCCTTTTATTTTGACACAGGACCTTGCTAAGTGCCCAGGCTGACCTCAGCCTCCCAAGTTAGCTGGAGTTATAGGCATGCACCCCTGTACTGTGAAGTTTTAAAAATTTGTAGCAAATATTTTTTGTAGTACCTGATTCCTAAAGCCTATGATCTGTTTTCTTTTGCCCTGCAGCCAGATGCTGTGGGTGGGGAAGTATGGCTGAGGGGAAGCCCTCACCATCCACAGGTCTCATGCTCCTCCTGTGTGACCCCCAGGTTCTCCCACACACCCTTCCCCACTGCCCACAGTTTTGGAGGTGCAGGTCTCTGGCTGCCTCAGGAGCCACCATCCTCCACATTATTTGATGAAAGGTGTCTTTCCTGGGCCTCCAGGGCCAGGCACATTGTTGGAGCTTCTTATGGGTGAGGGCTGCTCCCAGCAAGGAGAGCAGAGAGCATGCCAATTAGGAATCTGTTCCGGGTGAATTAAGGGGAGAGCACAAACACCTCAGCGTGCCACACACACGATACCACATCAGGAACATTTCCTGTGCAGAGGTGTCCAGGTGTCCGCCCAAGTTAGCACCGATGCTCAGCCCACCTCCCTGGGGCCTGTGGGCTCCTGGGGAAGCTGGTGCAAATGCCTGTGTTCATGCTCCTCAGCGAGGACAACGTCCCAGACCCCAAGGCCGTGAAGGAACAGTTCCGCGGGAGCCTCGTGGCAGCCCTGGGCGCCTATGGGCCACACTTCCTGGCATACTTCGGCTCCTTTGCCACAGTGGGTCTGCTCTGGTTTGCACACCACTCGCTCTTCCTGCACGTCCGCAAGGCCACACAGGCCATGGGTCTGCTCAACACCCTCTCCCTGGCCTTTGTGGGTGGCCTCCCTCTGGCCTACCAGCAGACTGCAGCCTTCGCCAGGCAGCCACGAGATGAGCTGGAGCGTGTGCGCCTCAGCTGTGCCATTGTCTTCTTCGCCAGCATCTTCCAGTTTGCCATCTGGACTGCGGCCCTGCTGCGCCAGGCAGAGACGCTGCAGCCAGCTGTGCGATTTGGTGGGCAGGAGCATGCCTTCATGTTTGCCAAGCTTGCGCTATACCCCTGTGCCAGCCTGCTGGCCTTTGCAGCCACCTGCCTGCTGAGCAGATTCAGCACAGCCATCTTCCACGTCATGCAGATTGCAGTGCCCTTCGCCTTTCTGCTGCTGCGCCTCCTCGTGCGCCTGGCTCTGGCCAGCCTGCATGGCCTACGCCACCTGCGGCCAGCACAACCTCTCCGGAGCCAGGCCCCAGAGGAGGCCCAGTCCCAGCTCCTGCCTTCCTCCTGCTAGTGGAAGCTATGCCTGCCCCTGAAGGAAGCCTTGGGGGTTGGGCCAGCAGGCCCCATGGATCCACAGTCTGGGTTTTGCCTCCATTGTGAAATATCAAGATCTGTTTCAGAGTATGCAAATTGTCCTCCTTTTTTACACTACGAGGAGTTCCACAGGAACTCAGTCTCTGCTGTTAGCCACCCACTTTCCTCCTAGACTCCAACACTACCAGGAAGATTGCCCCTCTGGAACCTGAAGCCAGTGGTCCTCCTGCCCCACCGCCTGTACCCCCTGTAGCCATGCCCTGGCCCACCCTCTCAGCAGTGCAGAGCTGCCCTGGTGAGACTGTAGTCCACCACCCCCTCCCCACCTGTCACACAAATGAAGAAGAGGTGGCCATGGAACAGTGAAGTCCAGATTCTATTCATCCTGATATAAATTAGGTCACATTCAAGGAGTGGTTAGTCAGTCACGCACAGGACTAGCACACAGGGACATACACCCAGTGGGCAGACAGTCTCACATAAATGGAGGACAAGCCACACTGACCACAACAAACAATTCTTGCAAATGAGAATCAAGGCAAAAGCTAGTTATACCACTAAGACGTGTTTCGGACATTACATATGACATGAACACAAGGAATGTCTACACAAGAGACCACAAGTGGCCCCCAGGACGCATTTGTGCAATTTTGGCAGAAGCAGGAGAAGGGGCTGGGCTTAATGGCACCAAGGCTCTCCAGGGCTGCAGGCAAGGCCACAGCCACTTCTAAGGTCAAGGGCCATGGCCATGCAGACCCAGTGCCAGCAGACAAAGGGAGATCTGACTGAGGCCTCTTTTTTAGGGTTGGGACCTCTGGAGACTTCCCACATAGGTTTCTTGTTTCTGGTCAGACTCCTTTGGGATCTGAGGTGCAAGAGCTATCTTGGCATGGTGCCCCAGGGTGGCCCGGAAGCAGAACTGCCTGGGGGATCGAGCCAGGGCAAGAAGGGAACATGGGACATTTGCTGGCAAGCAGCAGGCATGTAAAGTGCTGTGGTTGAGCCTGAGGCCTGGGGGTGGTCTACACTTCCACCAGTGCACGCCAGCCCTGCCCGTGGACTCTGGGGCCCAAGGGAATATGCTCAGGGCCCAGCCCACACTCCAGCTGGGCTCAAGGTGGACTGACAGGTGTGGGAATGCTGTTCCCCTTGCCTTAGCCTTCGCCACCAGCCCTAGAGAAGGGTGGCCAGGCCCAGTCAGTACTGCACAGATCCTGCAGCCACATTCCACAGTGCAAGCTGGAAAAAAGGGAAGGCACCTTCCCCAAGACAGAGGTGGCCACCTTCCCACCGGGAGGGGCAGGAAAAGCTGACAGCACTTGCTACTACAGGGCCAGTAGGAGGTACAGTAATAGTTCCAGGGGAATGGTCTGAGTGGCACATGTGGCCCTTGTCCAGTGCTGTCCAGTTCATAGTGCTCAGGTGGAGGGTTACAAAGAGGTTGTCGACCCCCAGCCTGGGCCCTACCTCCCGGTCCTCCCTTCCCCAGGACTTCCATGACTAACACAGGTATGGGATCCCAGCCCCTGAGGGAACAGTGCCCACCTGCTACACAGCTGCCCTTGGGCCAAGGGGGAGATGGCCACCCGCCTCCCATCAGTGTCCACGTAACACCAGACAAGGACAAGAGCCAGAAACAACTAGGCCTGGGAAGATACTGGGGTCCAGGTGATGGGTCCATCTGCTGGCCAGCCAGTGTGTGAACTTGGAGCAGCTGAAGACAGGAAACCAGCCTTCTTAAGCTTCTACTTAGGGTCACCCTCAAGGGCAGATGAGGTGTCTGCTCTGGTGTCCCTGGTGGTGCCAACCTTTCTGGGTCTCTGCTTGGCCTTCCTTAGCATGTGTACCTGTTTGAGATGGGGGAAGGGTCAGTATGACATAGATCACAGTCCTGGGACCCCAGGAGGCCAATGCCCTGGATGGGGCCATCTTCAGCCCACTGCCCATCCTCAGCCAGGCCTCTTCTCTTGAGGCCCAGGATTCATGTCTTTTGAGGCCTGGCCACTCTTACCAGAATCCCATGACTACCTGGCCTCTGGGAGGCCCAGCCCACTTGAGCAGCAATGGCCGCTGCACAGCCACAGCCCACCTGGGCTTAGCCCTCATCAGCATACCTTGGGACCAGCAGCTGAGATGATCATATGCCCTGGGGCCTGAACCCAGGGCTCACCATCCACCTGCACAGGAGTAGCCTTGAGGAGCGTGACTCGGAAATAGGAACCCTGGGCGATGCGGATACCAGAGCGCAGCCCACCCTGCACCTGGCCCTGGGCAGAGACAGGCCAGGCTTAGTGGGCCCACGGGTGCCATGAGGGCCGCCCGCTGGGCTCCCGTGCTCACCATGTGCACGACGCCTGTCACACCCACCACCTCCAGCAGCCCGTCGTCCATGCGTGGCTTCTCGAACCTCGGGTCGCTGTCTGAGCCCCACAGGTCAGCCCCTGAGCCCCAGCTGCCCCAAGAGGAGGGAGGGGCGTGCACAGATTAGGCCCAACTGACACTGCTCAGCCCAAGCCACACAGTCTCCTGGGAGCCCAGCCCCACACCTGGGGATGTTGATGAAGATGAGGCCCTCAATGCTGGGCAGCTCCACCTCCTGCTGTTCAACCTGCAGCCTGAGCTCCCTGTGGAGGCCGCGGGAGTGGCTGATCTTCTGTAGCCCAACCCGCACATACACACCCTTATTGTGGAACCTGCCGGAGAAGACACACTTGCAGTCACTGGCTGATGGCTGCTGCCTTGCCGACAGAAGCCCCAGCTCCTGGCACTGCCCTTGTGGTACCTGCTGGTGAACTTGCCAGGCTCCTCCTCCCTCGCCTGGTGGAAGTCCAGACTGAGCTCAGCATCAATGCCAATGCCACAGTAGTTACTCATCTGCACAATCTGAGGAAAAGGGTGTCAGCAGGTCACCAGCCAGCCCCCAGCAACCCAGTGCAATCCAACGCACCAGCAGCTCAGAGGAGCAGCCTCATATTCCAAGTGGGGGTGCCAGTACTCCTGCACATGGCTGAGGAGGGAGCATTTCTGTGCACCTCAAGAGCCACCTGCAAGAGCCAAGCAGGGGGCACACTGGTACCTTGGGGGGCTCTGTGTCCACTACACTGTTCTCGGTACTACTGGCCTCCTGGGCGTCCAGCAGGATGGTCCAGCGGTCCATAAGCACAGCATCAGCCTCATCCACAGACACAAGCACAGAGAACGGGTCTTCCCCGCTGTAGCCTGCTCCCCAGCGGAGCACTCGGCCAAGGTCATTCCCTGGGACAGAGGTAAGGCAATGACTCCCACACACCATCACAGAACAGAGCCCCACCACAGGACAGAAAACCCAGCACAGGCCTGGAGCAAAACTAGGGGCAGGGAGAGCCATGAGGCCCCAGTCTTCAACTCAATGGCTGGCCCCACCTGTGCCCAGGGGCAGGATGGCTACGGATGGCTCTGGACAGGCCAGACGGTGTCGTATCTCCTCCAGAGCGCCAAGCACCCAGCCCACGGTGCCATCCCCACCACACACCAGCACCCGGAAGCAGGGTACCTGGGAGAACAGATGAAACCTGCAGCAGGAAATAGGAAGTGTCCCACCACAGTGCAGCAGCTCCTTCCACATGCCTGTCTCCAGCCACATAGAGGACCTGAAGGTTCCATCTTGGAGCTCCAACTGGAGTTCCCAGTGGCCACAGACAGCAGCGGGGCCCTCCCGCCTGCAGCAGACCCTGACTCACCCAGGAAGAGGCCCCCCATTGGTCAGCTCGAAGACCTGGTGTGGGTTCAGCAGCCTGCGGAAGCTGCAGAGCAGGTCTCGGCCCTTGAGGCCCCCACTTTTGGGGTTCACGAACACGAGGAGCGGGCAGCAATCTGAGGGCAGCTTCATGTGCTGAGAAGCAGGAGGGCAGGGTCAGGGTAGGGCCAAGGTCCTTGGGCTGCCACGCAGCGCAGCATCTGCTCTGAGCCCCAAGCCCACTGGCCAAAGCAGCCCTCCCAAAGAAGAGAGGGCTGCTTCCCCACATGAGCATGGGTGCTGACTTCAGGACCACAGGCTGTGGCCAGTGGGCAGCAAGGAGGCCAGCTGGCTGCCTGGCAGTCCAGGCACAAAGGCCAGCCACACCCACCTGCCAGGCTACACAGCCCACAGGGCCCTGCTTGGTGCTGCCAGCCAGCACACCAGGCCTGGCCCTCAAAGGGCCACCCACCTACCCTTTGAAGATTGGCAGCTTCCAGGAAAAATGCTATTTCCAGGGTGGCTACACGTCTCCCTTGAGCTGTGAGACAGAACCTGTCTCTCATTTCAAACACACAACCCCAAGACCAGCCTAGGAGTCTAGACAGTGGGCCAGGCAGCATCACTGTGACAGGGTGGGGTGACGAGACAGACATAGGGTGGGCAGTGGCACACGGACCAGACCGTGGCTGGGCAAGGACACACTTGGGGCTTCATGGCCCAAGGGGCAGGCAAGGCCGCCTGCACTCACCACTTACCCACTCACCCCAAGGCAGGCAGCTGACGGGAGAGAGAAAGCGGTGTCGGCCTCAGGCCCAGCTCTGCCCATGGAGCAAACAGGATGGGGCTGGGGTGTGTCTGAGCCCTGGCCTACAGGGACTAGATCCTCAGAAAGTGGGGACAGTCACCTGGCTGGCCAGGATAGGACCAGGTAGGGAAAGGACAGGAAGGATCTATGGGCATGTCCTACTCGGTCACAGACCCCTAGACTAATTCTTTTTCCTGGGCTTATGTGGGGGGTCAAGGGCCAGGATTCAAGAACAAAATAGCTGTGGACACCTGGGCCTTGTGGGACGAGCAGGGGCAGGCAGGGCAAAGTCGCCATGGATGCCTGGGGGCCTTGAGGAACATGCAGGGGCAGGCAGGGCTGAGAACCACAGGCCACCATGAGGGTGTGGGATGGAGGTCCAGGCTCCAGCCCTCCTGCAGCTCACCCCTGTGCTCACAGGCAGTGCTGCTCTGGCCCTGTGTTACCCTGCCACTCTCTTCCAGGTACAGGTAGGTCTTGAGGGGAGCCCCAGTGACGGGGCTACACTGGCTGGTCAAGCTCTGGCTGTGGAGCAGGGCCCCTGCGGCCCCCCAAGATAGGTGGAGAGGACAGGCCAGAATGATGACGGTACAGTAACAGGCTCTGACTCTCAGCAAGCGGCTGCTGTACAGTCAGGAGCTGCGTCCTGTGGCCTCCCCACAGCACAGAGACAGGAATCCAGAACAGACAGCCAACCCCAGCCCCCAGGAACGGGTCTCACCCACCAGCAAGCACGGACCCTCAGACCTCGGTCCCTCTGGTGTGAAGTGGGCAGCCTTGTCCACCCTTGGCTATGGTGAAGCCTGACCAAGGTGGCACTACCAGCCCCAGCACACTCGAGGGAGATGATGGTTGAGCGCGTCCAACCATGAGGACGCAAGATGTGCAGGTTCCACCCTGGAGAACCACGCACAGCCCAGAACTGCCCACTCACCAGCACGTCTGGGAGCACCAGCAGCGACAGCGGCCGGCCACGCACCACTGTGTCCCTGCCCAGCATGAACAACCGCTCAGCCTCAGCAAAGCAGGCCACGTCCAACACCACCGCACCTGCACAGGTGGCCAGAGCTCAGGGACCTGCCCTGCACACCCACCCCACCCGCCCATGGGGCAGCTCAGGGGCCTGCCCTGTGCACACACTACCCCATTCCCATGGTGCCCAGAGCAGGGTTTCAGTCCCCTGGTAACAGCCCCAGCTCTAGCCATAGCCATGTAGAGTCAGCGCTCTGATGCTGGCATCTACAGTGAGGGGCCTCCCCACCTCAGAGTGTTTCCAAGGATGGCCAGGCTCAGTAACTGAACCCAACAGTGGGCAATGGGCCCGTCCCCTGCACCACAATCCTCACACCCACACCCAGCATCCCCGGGTAGGCAGGTCATGGGCATGTTTGGAACCTCCCCAGCAGGAGGCAGGAGCATGGCAGGAGGGGCGTGGAGAGCACAGCTGAGCTGAGCCACACTGATGCAGGAGCATCAGAAGCCGGCAGGTATGGCTCCAAGCTCTGAAGGAGGGAGAAAGATAGCTTTTCCACCCACCTCCAGAGTCCATGGGTGCAGCTCACCTTGCGAGTTGTAGACATGGCTCACGGACACCACGGCAGCTGCAGACAGACTTGTGTCAGGGGTGCATGGTGCAAAGGCTGCCCGACTCCCCCTCCCAAAAGTATCCCACTCCAGAGCAGGGCCCTGCCCCCTGGAGTTCCAGGGACCCCACAGGGGGAAGCAGAGATCCCTAATGACAGAGGATAGGAAGCTGAGTGGGCTGTGCCTAGGGTGGGAATGGAGTCGGGGTTCAAATGGCAGGAAGGGCAGGAGAACCATCCCAGCCAGAAGCCCTGGCCAGCCCAGGGTCACACCTTTGATGGCCATAGCCTCATGCAGCAGGTGACTGTATTCCTGGGGGGACAGGCCAGGTGGCAGGCCACCCACGAACAGAGAGACGTGTGGGGTTACGGTCCGGCTCTCGGTGACATAGAACCGTGTCTGGCTCACCTGCCGCACAGATGTCTGTAGGGAGGGCAAGGGCTGTAGGGATGCTGGGCAGTGCCATCAGCACCAACTCCCCATCAACCAGGGGCAACAGAAGTAAGAGGGGCACCAGGGCTGCCTTCCTCTGGGTGAGCCCTGCCCCCCTCAAGGAACTGGGGCAGTCTGTGGCTCAAGGCCCTCTTGCTGGGTGATGATGTTTCATGGAGGGCACTGCCAGCCAGGGCAGTCAGTTGCCTGCTGGGTAGGAGACACCCCTCTATGGGGCAAAGGCCATGGCTAAAGGCCAGAAGTACACTGGGGCCAGTGTCCACACCCACTGACCTGCCGGATGTCCCGAAGCCGATCAAGCAGGGGCTCCTCATCTGCTAGCACTGTCCGCTGGACTGTGGGATTGAGGGGCACAGCTCATTACAGGTGGGCTCCTCCCTACATCAGCCAACAGCCACCCTGAGAACCCAGGCATATGGGGACATAGGCAAGACCAGCCCCAACATCCTGAGGGACAGGCTTGGAAGGCCCAGGATGTGTGTAGGGCCTGAGAGCACTGCCAGGCTACTCACCCACCTTGCTTGCTGCCCATGAGCACCTCGACCAGCTGGAAGCTCTCAGGACCCTCAACCTGTAAGGCAGGAATGGCATCAGGCCTGGCCACCTCCCCAAGACATCTTAGGGGACAGCAACAGGGCCCACTGGGTAGGTAATCCCCAGGTCTGGCAGAACTAGGCGGCCCAGCATACACACCTGGCGCCCGAACAGCGGGAGGACCTCCAGCACCACGGTCTGCGCTGTGCTCTGTGGGGTCACACGGATGGACACGTAGGCCACACCCACCCTGCAGGGGACAGGCTTGGAGCTTGGGCCCTGGGCTCCTACCCCATCCCCTCCCCCCAGCTGACCCCGTGCCTTGGGCCTCACTTGAGCCAAGCTGGATAGATCTTCAGGACCTCCTGCGTCCGAGGCAAGGAACGGATGACCCAGGCCTCGGGCATGGGCTCCTGGGGCCCAGAGACTCTGCTGCCCTCCTCCTCTACAGGACCACTTAGCCCAGCCTTCCCCAGGGCCTGGGTGTCACCACTCAGTGAAGGCAGGGGCAGCGCCTGCAGCTCAAAGTCCCGAGCATCCTCAATGACACAGTAGGCCCGCAGTGCCACCTCCTGCAGGGGGGTGGGGGGACAATGATGTGGGGAGGCCTGGCGGGGTAATCGGTGTGGGGGCCCGGGTGTGGCCGCTACTGGGGCCTCATAGACATGTGGCCCTACCCTGGCCTCCCTCTTACCAGCACCTCCTGGCTCCTGGCCAGCCGTGGGACAGTCACCAGGCGGAACTGGTTTCTCCTGATGGCATCATTGCCATCAAAGATCTTCAGGGTCTGCTTGCCTGGACCAGGAAGGAACAGTGAGGACTCCATAGGGGGAGCGTGGGGACCAGCTGATCACTATTGGGCATTTACCTGACTCTGGAGCCACCAGGGCCTCTCTGCCCAGCACCCCGGTAGCAATTCCATCTGCTCCATCATCCTTGTTACCTGCATATTGGACATGGATCTGTCACTCAACGCTCTGCCAACCTGGACCCTGGTGTCCCCAAGGCCACCCACAGCCTCACCTGGCTCTGGCACCACAGCCTCAGCAATGCGGAAGCAGTGCATCTTGCTGAAGTTGCGGGACAGCAGGCGCACACACGAGGGGGGCAGAACCATGGACCGCAGGCGCCCAAACGTACACTCTGGAGCAAGCGCCGTGGAGCACACCGCATGGGCCTGGGGGACATGGGGCGAGCCTGACGCACTGGGAAAGAGGCGGCCTCACCCAGACCAGAGAAGACAGGGGCCCTCATCCCCAAGACAGCACAGTGTAGACCAGATCCAGGAAAAGAACACCTCAGCCCATCCCCAGGGCCCAGCCCAACCAGGGCTATCCCACCCAGCCCCCAGCCCATGCCCACCTGGACACCACACCACTCGCAGCGCACACCTGCCGGCACATCGGAGGACCCACACGTCTTCCTGCAGACCTCGCAGCGCGTGCCGGAGGGCAGGTTCCCCTCCCGCCAGTGGTGGTGATGCGTGTCCTGTAAAGGGAGCAGTCAGTGGCACAGCCCACCCTTGCCCAGGCCTGCCCTCACCCAGGCCCCTGCACTCACATGGTCCTGGTGTCCATCCTGGTGGCACTGGCGGCAGTCGCTGCAGGCGAAGGGCACACAGTCGGGGTGAACGTGCAGCTCACACACTGGGGGGCGGGCAGGGTTAGGGGCTCTCACCATGCCCCTGCCCCCGCCCTCCTTGCAGGCCTCCCAGTTGGGGCTGGGTCCGACCCCAACCTCTGCCACCAAGGAATCCCCTTCCTACCTACCTGCATGGGGCGTGCACCCCTCCTTCAGAAGCTCCCCAGGCCGGCCCTGCGCCTACCCCCACTTCCCTAACAAACCACGGACTGGGGGAGGGCAGGCTACCAGGCCACCCTGGGCAAGAGAGACCAGGCCCTGGGTGAGGGGCTCAGCCTAGGAGGCCAATGGGGCCAGTGGTACCTTCACAGCGAAGTGCGGGTGCCTCCAAGCCCTTGCGACACACAGAACAGAACCTGCGCTTGTAAAGCCCCCGGGGGCCGAAGCAGTGGGCTACAGGGACCTGCAGGGCAGAGTGAGCCTCAGCCTCTGCCCGTCTGGCCTGCACCTCCTCCCTGGCCGCTGTCTCCTCCCTCCAAAGGTTCCTGAAGCCACCACCTCCAGGTCTACCCTCTGGGAGGCAGTCAGCCACAAGGACTGTGAACCTTGCCTTTCCATGATAGAGATGGAGAGGGATCCATTCTTTTTCCAGTCCTTCAGTTACCATGTGCACAGAAGAAGGGAGCGTAAACAGAAAGCTTGCACGCCAGAATGGCAACCATGGGCACAGAGGCTGGTGTTTATTTCTTTATCTTGTTTTTTGGTACTGGGGATTGAACCCTGGGGTACTTTACCATTAAGCTATATCCCCAGTCCTTTTTATTTTTTGAGACAGGGCCTTACTAAATTGCCCAGGCTGGCCTTGAACTTGCAATCCTCCTGCTTCAGCCTCCTGAGTTGCTGGAATTATAGGTGTGTGCAACCATGCCTGGCTTTTTAAAAATATCTATATCCTCCAAATTCTTATCATATATATATACATATATATAATATATATATATTTTTTTGAAATTTTTAACTTTTTTTAACTTTTTTTAATTTTTTAATTTTTAATTTTTTTAAGTGAAGAGGAAACATTAAGACCAACTTTAGAATATAATCATGAATGTCCACATGAAGGGCTACCCCAGCCAATGTGACACCCCAAGCTGGCACCCAGAGCCAGCACCTAAAGCCAGTATCCACAGGCCCTTTTGGGCTCACATATGGTATTCAAATAATTCCCCAAACACAGCATCAAGTATCCCAGGGCAGACACCACCTGGCAGCAGGTGACCTGCATCCCAGTCCCCTTCACCCATAGGCAAAAGCCCACCACACCAACAGCACTGCTGCACTGAGCTCCAGCCCACTGCACCAACATGGTGGTCAGTGGTCCCACTGCCCACAGCCAGCTAGCAGACAGGAAAATAGGGTGTGATGCTGTATGCAGGGCACAGGTGACCACTGATGTCATCAGTCCTCCCTAAACACTTGGCTGCCATTACCCACAAAAGAGAAGTCCCTGCACCCTGCAGAGACCTCAGCCAACACCCCATCAAGAACCCTGAAGAAGGAATTAGATGGCCAAAACTCCTCCAGCTCCTAGGCTTGGGCCTTCTGTTTATATAAGCCTGTTACCTTGAGCATTTGTGGGCTCAAGGGCCACATCAGACAGAGCTGGTAGGTATGACAGCAAGGCAGTGACAGTGATGCTGAATCAGAGCACCCAGCCCAAGGAGACCTACATGATGTACCTGGTACCCATGCCCACTCCTCTACCCACAACCTGTACTCTCCCAGCATCCCATTTCACCTGCTAGTGGGCGGAGTGGTAGAGCATGTACCCTGCGGGACTGGCCTCCCCAGGCACGACACCTGGGGATCCACCCAGGTGCTTGGTATCATCAATTGCTCCTTCCCTTGGATGGCTGAGCAGGATTCTGCCCTTTGCTTCTTAATCACGGTGTGACCAAGCTGACAAGTAGGACAGCCAGGAAGGACCTGACCCCACAAGGGCCCACACGCATTGCTAGGGTGGCACTCACCCTCACCAGGCTGGGTGCGATGCCCGTGCATGGCGTCCTCACATGCTTCAGGCACTTCTCGTGGGACATGAAGTTGCAGACTGTGGGAACAAGGATGTGTCAGTGGCCTGGTCCTGCAGGGCAGTCACCTCCTACCCAGGAGATGAGAGGCCCCAGGACCCAGGACCTGGCCCCCAGCCTTGCCCAGCAGGGCTACAGCAGGGCACCAGCACTCTGCCACAGGGCCTGAGTGCCCGACACAGTGGATTTTGGCACAACTGATGGAAGAGGTCCCTCCAGTGAGCTGGACTGGGCAGTGGAGAAGCCATTCCTGCTATCCCCATAATATGAAGCCAGGTGACGGCACTAGCACAGACCCCCATGTTCCCTACCCTCATCCACAGACAGGGACTGGTGCTGTGGCCATTCTGGGATACAGCAGGCCCAGGTCCCCCTGCACCTCTGCAGCCGGCCCTGTGAGAGGGATGGTCCTGGCCACAGCACGCAGAGGTTTCATAAACTTCTACACACCTACCAAGAGCAGCTTTGCCTGGGACACTCTTCCCTGCTGCTCCCACAACTGCATCCACTCCTAACTGCTCCTGCCACATTCTATGGGCTGTGCCTAATATCTAGAGCCACACCAGGCAGGTGGGGCACCTAGCCAGGTGAGGGCTCCCAAAGGCAGGAGTTGCCAGCAGGGAGACTTCCCTAAGCCTCCAAAGACAGTGAGAATTTAAACACTGCCTAGGTGGGAAGGCCAGGACAGCACTAGGGCCAGCAGACATGGCACCCTGGTCCTGGGGAGGCAAAGTGTCCCTGGGCCTCAACAGGGGCAAAGGCTCAGCAGCAGAGAGATGATGGTCAGAAGGGGCAGAGGGCAGTCTGTGGTGGCACATTCAGAGCCAAGAGAAGACAGAGGGGCAAGGGGTCCAAGCTGGGCCCCAGGAAAGGTGGACAAGGCCACAGGGGCAAAGAACACAAATGCCAAAACTGCCTGGAGTGAACCTGCCCGTGGGGCCTCAAGGCAGCCCCATTCTTAGGCACCTCCCAGAGGGCAAGCTGCCCCCAACCTGTGGACCCTCACCTCCCAGCCTTAGAAGGGAACAGGCAGAAGTTTCTCCGTGGACTGCTCCAGAGACAACGTGTGAAAGTAAGCTGGGACTGTGGGGGGCAGGAGATGGAGAAGGAGTTCTCCAGCCTTCCCCAGGAGCCCTGCTCCCTGTTCACTCTGGGACGAAGACACTGCCAGCTTCCTCTACTGAGAGGGGAGGTGGTGCCTGATCCCGCATTCCATGCCTTGGGTGCTGCTGGGAGGAGCACATCTCCCCACACCTTTCCAAGCCCTGTTTGCCCAGGTCATAGTCCTATCTTTAGAGATACTGCCCGGAAATGGCCTCTCCTTCATCTCCCACACATCAGGCCAGCCCCTAAGTGAGCTGCTTTGCCCAAGGCTAGGCTGAAGGTTCCTGAGCCCCTTGAACCTAGAACCCACCAGCAGGGGCCCATTTGTGAAGGGGACCAGGAGTCTAGTCTTAGACTTGGCTTCTGCCTTCACACCTCTCACTGCGCCAGCCTCAAACCTACAGTTCCACATTCATCACCTGCCACCTTCACAGGGATTAGTCTCAGACCTAGAGCTGTTTCTGTGCCTTCACCTGTGCAGGGAATCCTGTGGTCTACCTTCTACCTGCCTGCAGCCCCGCCTTTTCTACCTCTCACTTGTGCATGGGGTCCTGGGATCTAGCCTGACTTGGAGCTCACTTGGCCTGCACATGCACACCCTCCACCATAATGGAGCCCCAACATTCCTGGGAGCAGGCAGAGCAGTGCAGTCTCTGATCTGTCAGAGAAACCACAGTGACCACCCCTATGCCAGCTGGCCACCCCTGGAGTCAAGATCACCAAACCCTTTTCACTGGCAGAGGACACCCCTATGTGAGTCTCTGGCCTGAGAGATGCCACTCTAGAGCAAAGGCCTATCTTCCTGAGCAGGGTAGAAGTTCCTCAGCCAGTCCCACCTCCAGCCCCTGACCAGGACATAGGAAGTGCCAAAGGTCCATGTGTTCCACATAGGCTGGGCTGAGGGCCCCAGGGCCTGCCTGCTGGCATGAGAGAGGACCAGAAGAGGCCCAGCCCAGATGCACCCTTGAGGCAAAGACAGGGCTGCCGGCTTGGCAGCTGAGTGGGAGCCCTGTTGGGACATGCCACACCTGGGAGGAGACCCAGCCAGGCTCTCCACGCAGCAGACTCTGAGCAGAGCCAGCATTCAGTCCCTCTGGGCAACAGCATGCATTCAAGAAGAGAATGACCAGTACCCGCGGTCCAGGGCAGCCGGTTTGCCCATCCCTGCTACCCAATCGAGAGAGATGCACCCAGACCTGGGAACCCCAGAGAGGTCTGGCCAGTCTCAGGGCCAGCTGGCTCTATCCCGGGCCCTGCAACTGCCCCCAACTCAATCCCAGCGCCACACCGTGGCAACACTCCCCGACTTCCGACAAGGGAGCCCAGGAATCCTGCGGCAGGAGGGGCAGGGATGAGCGACAGTGTGCTGAGGGAGGCCCGGCACCGCGCTCCGGGCTGACAAGGCCCGTGCGGGCCCGCGGCGCAGAGGTCAGGGCGCGTCCCGCCCAAGCAGCCTCTCGGGACGCGGCTCCGGCCGGCGGCGCGCGCTCACCATCGCACAGGAAGCCGGCGAGCCCCCAGACAAAGTCGGAGCAGAGGTGGCAGAAGGTGGGCTTGGTGAGCGTCACCTTCCGGAAGCTGTGACCCGCAGCGGCGGGGCCAGGGGCTCTGCCGCCAGACCGCTCTGATCCCGGCCCCGGTCCCTGGCGCGCGTGGCCTCGGGCACCCAGCACAGGGCTGCTGGCCGGGCTGCTGGGGC